CTCACACCTGACTCATGCCTACCTCACACCTACCTCACACATGTCAAACTGTATGGTCACACCAGCCACATTAACCATCTGACCTCCATATTGCATGGCTTCTTCAGAAGGTTCCAGAGCTGTCCATGAACTTGCACCAACTCAGTTTCCTGCTTGTCTATCCTGAGTTGCTCTGGAATTTCCCATGTGTAATAGTTGCTATTTAATGCATCAATTCTCTTTGATTTTTCCCAAAATTTCTTAGTTCAACTCACTGGGAATTTTCAGATTCTCCTGGCTGCCTGCCTTCTGCCCTCTAACCATGTATACTTCACCCCTCCACATTGCCTCATAAAGAAATGAATCCAGGATGCCCTCAAGGATCTGGAACTCCACAAAACACACAGATCCTTCAGACCACAGGAGACTCTACTCAATGCCAACATCAGAAAGAGAGACCCAAAGGAAAGAGAGACTCCAAACAGCTAGATGGTATGAGGAACACCCCTCCTGGGTCTTACCACAGAAGTGGCAAGGTTTGGATATGGCCCAGAATTCATCCCTGTGTAATCCTAGAAGAAGAAAAAAAGTGTAAACAGGGTTTCATGCAGCTTGGGCTAGCCTTGAACTCAGTATGTAGCTAAGGATGACCTTGAACTCTTGCCTCTACTTTCTGAATGTTGGGGCTTCAGATCTGGCTTTTCATGTTGGAGATGGAATCCAGGGCTTTGTGCTTGCTAGGCAAACATGTGTTCTACCTACTGAGCTACAACGCCAACCACAGGAAATGAATACTGGGCTGAAACTGCCGGAGAGCAGACCAATCAGGTAGTTGGAGAGTGGGTGCCTGGGTGGACTTCCTCACCAGCCCTGGAGGCCTCAAGGGGGCAGGGGCCCTCTCAAATTGCTAAAGGCAAGGAGAGGAACTGAGGTTTGTGAGCACTGTGGCTTGCATTTCCTGTTTCAGCAGGCTGTGTGCAATGAGAACGTCAGTATAAGAAGAAAATGGTGAGGAGGCTTAGAACCTCGGCTTGACAGCTCCCTCAGCCGTCTGAGACCAGTGAGACCTGGAGAGGGCTGAAGGCTCTCCTGAAACACTTGACACAGAACCTGGGATCCGAGGTAACGGTGGAGGAAGATGCTTTGGGATCCAGGTTTGGGTCTGTTGACTTAGGGTGGGGCAGACGATCCTCTGCCTTGCCAGCCTCCTGCATAGCACCAGGTGGTAGGACTTTCTTGCTACGGTTTCTACAATCAAAAAAGGGTCCTGTGCGGAAGTCCTCAGGCAACCACAGGGTATGGCTGCCAACTCCACTCCGTCTGTTGGTTTAGATTAGGTGTGAGTCCCATGGCTTGGTGTTGGTGTGCTCAACATCTGTAACATGAATTAGATGACCTTTCCCAATCCCTTCAATGCCCTTCTCCTTCAGCTATCACTGAGAATGCTGAACTAAGCAGGTCAGATCCATGTAGGAAGCCATCCATCACTTCCTCTACGTACACAGCCAGGGGGTAGGTGCAAAAATGTGGAAAGCCAGAACACGCCTGTGGGTGAGGGGCAGTGCAGTGCTGTCTTCCTGTGCAGGAAGGAGAGCCTTCCCTAGCCAATGCCAGCCTGTCCTCCTAGCTCTAACTAGGTCCTTTCATGTTGGCAAGGGGTACCTCAGAGACCACAGAAATCCTAGGCAGTGGCCTTGTGACCTTTCTCTGAACTACAGGACCGGTTCCTTTTTCCTATAGCCTGCCCCTGTCCATCAGACCTTCCACAAGCCTTCTTGTGTTTAAGCTAGCCAGGATGACCTCACCATCCTAGAAGGCTGTGTGGTTCCATACAAGTGCCAAAGCCCAGCAGGTGTAGCAGGCTATGCGTCTAGAGATACTCTTCTCTCTAGGGTGCCGTTCCTATTGCAACTTCCTAACTGTCAAGTCCTAATGATGCAGAGAGTAAAACGGCCATAATTTCAGTGGACCTACCGACAAGCTAGACGGAGAACAGGAAGAGATATCATCACAGGCCTGCCCTCAACCCTTCAGACCTTTCTTCTCCTCATCTGGAGGGCAAGAGGATCTACAACCCAAGGAGCTCCCTCTAGTATGAAGCCCTCATAATTTATAATGGTGTCTCCTTTCTTCACCTACCTCCTTTGTCTTTCTGTCCGACCTAATCAAGTTGATGATTGCATCCAGACCACAGAGAAGTGCTTGGTCCTTTTAACCCAAACTCAGACACCACAGGAACCACAGCAGTAAAATTATTCCAAGATGGAACTACAAGCCCTGTTCAGAACTGAGAGAAGGGAGGAGGGGAATCAAAAGGCAAAAGCAAACATTCTCAGAACCTAGAGTCTGGCTTTGCCTGGGGCATTTGATTCATAGCACCAAGTCTTCCAGATCCAGCACCAGCCATGACAACTATCTATTATTTTTAAAAAGCTGCCATTTATCATATGCCATGTGCTAGGTATATGGTATGGGTACTGCGTGTTGTCTTTTAATGCCCATGCCCTTTCAAGGGAAGTTTTAGCCCCATATCATAAATGAGAACGCTGAGGCTTAACAACTCCCCCCCCCCATACCTGTTTGGTGGGTATTGACAACCTGGAAGTGAGTCAGTCTGACCCCAAAGCAAAGGTTGCCCTCCTTCAGAGAAGACAGAATAGTTGGGTGCCGTGGCTTGAAGGTGCACATGTGTGTAATTCCAAGTCTCTTCCATACATTCATTTATGACAGAACATGAGTAGGCTTTTTGGCTCCTTTTCTACGTAATTAAATAAACAGGGTGACATGTGGCAAATTGAGGTAGCCCCACAGAATGAGAGTGGGACGAAGCCTGAGGGAAAGGCAAACACTTAGCACGTCACAGTCTCGCAGTCCTTGGGGAAGACTCTGCCCAAGGCAGGGAGTGTCCCCCAGCCCTCTAGAGTCAGGTAATTAAAAGCATATAGGACTTGGCCACATAAGAACCCTCCAGAGAGTGAGACTGGCCAGCCACAGGCTTGTGAATGAGTATTGCGACCAGAGGACGAGCAGGAACCCTGCACAGGATTCTGTCCATGCCAGGATAGGGATCGAAGTCCCAAGAAGAAACTCAGGGGCCTCTCTTCCTGCAGAGTCTGTGCAGCCTATACACAGGCATGAGGGGTCAGAACTGGCCAGTGTCTGCAAGACCACCCGGGATCTGAATTCCTGGGCAGTGGGATAATCTGGGCATAGAGAAGAGGCAGCAGCTGTGACTAGGATCTTCCTCCATCACCACAGTCTGACTCCAGAGGGCACAGGAGGCAGGGTACAATCTCTGATGATAGGGTGTAGCTCATCTGAGTCCAGCCCTGATTCCACCAGGCTGCCAGAGCCCAAAATAAGACTAGCCAAATCCTCAGCAGGTGGGTGAAGATGAGGGTTTGGGCACTAAATGGATGCCAGACAAGGCCACCTAGAGGGGCATCCAAGGTGGCCTGTCCTGAAAACTGTTACTTGGGGACTTTCCATTATACAGGTTTCTCTTCTTGTTTCTTGCGATTTGTAGGACTCCTGTTGAGAGCACCCCACACATTTGCTAGTTTAGATGGCAGATTTGAGGACCAGACTGAGCCTGGCAGGGAGGTGATCTTAAGGGAGTAGAGCCTCCTCTCTGAGTCCCTGAGCCAGATTCTCTGAAATGAACCAACACCAAGCATCTTGGAGGTTCTCAGCTAACAGACTAACTTGATCAGCAGCTGAGAGTCAGAGCCCAGCACTAGATACACAGTAGATGACAAAGAGGAAGGATTGGGGTGGTGATGGAGGAATCAGGGCAGGCTTCCCTAGGTCATGCCAGTCCAGAGCCACAAAATGGCTGCTGAGAGCTAGGAGCGGAGCAGAAAGTACCAGTCACAAACCTGGTCACCTCCTGAGGGGTTGTGGCTACCCTTCTAGGTCTCAAGAAGTGTCACTTAGCAAGAGACAGTAAAGATGACATCATCTTTCCTTTTTAGACTGGGAGATAAAGTGGGTCAGGCTGCCCACAGTTCTATAAGCCACCCACATGGCTGTAGGCTCTTTATGGCTACTGTCACTTCTTCTTCACGTTCCCTCACTTAGAGGCATCTACTCAAGGAAGAAGGGATTCCAGAGATAACCGACCACTTTAGGAGATTAGTGCTAGAGAAAAGTGGAAACCTGGCCTTACTGGATTGCACCAGTTCATGCAGGATCAAGCCCGGGAGTCCCGACCCTGGGTTCTCAACACACATGGATGGAGCCCCATATTCCTTCCACCCTGACCCAGGGAGATAGCGGTCAGTTTTCAGCCCATCTTCTGACTCCTCCCTCTTGGCATCTGGCAGATCCAAGCAGCTGTTCAAGGAAAGTAAGCCAAGCACGACAGGTGCTCGGGAGGCCACCATGATCAGCTCAGACTCCAGGTCCTCCCCTGGCTTGGCTCGGTGGGCCGAGAGCTATGAGGCCAAGTGTGAGAGACGTCAGGAGACCCGAGAGAGCCGCCGCCGCCGCCGCAATGAGACCACTTGCCGCCAGCCTGGGAAGGTGCTGAGGACCCAATACAAGGAACAGCTTCAGAGAGCTCGGCAGCTACAGTTCCTCAAAAGGAGAAACCTGGACGAAGAGAAGAAAGGCCAAGTCAGGGAGCAAAGGCCCTCCAGCAAGACAGATGGAAGAACAGGCCAAGTGTCTCTCCTCGAGGAGTCCTTGCCTGGTGCCAACAGGACCTGTTTCCCCGGACAGCAGGTGCGATATGTTTGAGATAGCGCTGCCCCAGGCCCAGGGCTGGGGGTCTGCAAGCTACAAGGGATGACCGTCACTAACAATTGATTTCCATTAATCTCTTCCTCAGCGTTCAGTCAGACTTCCTTTAACCATCAACCAGTGCTCTTTCAGAGAGTCTGTGGTGTCTTGTCTTAACTCCTTTTGAAGAGGAGGGGGCTACATCTGCCTATTGGGAGAAAGGAAATAATTGTACAAACAATTTCAAGCCAATAACTTATATAAGATCTTCTTTTTTTTCCCCTGAGGTAGGGCCTTGCTATGTATTCCAAGATGGCTTCAAATTCATTATCCTTCTTGAATTACAGGTATACCGTAATTAGCAGATTTCTTCCATGCAGCTTTCCTTTAGTTCTCTCGATGCTGAAGGCCTTATGGTTGGTAGCCGAGCTCTCAGCCCACTGAGCCACTGGGCCACATCCCCAGTTCTTTAATATCTCTCTCTCTCTCTCTCTCTCTCTCTCTCTCTCTTACTCTCCAGTAAGGTTTCATATCCACTCTTTCTCTTGTGACACTTCATTTCTAACAGCTTTGCCGAACTGAAGCCTCATCTGATCAGGGAAGCCTTCCCTGGCAAGTCAGGACACCTCTGCTCTCTTGGGTCTGCATGGTTAATATTGCATCAGTACATAGAAAGCCCATTACCATGGCCTAGGAGGAACAGTGTTCACAACAGCAGGCCCTGTGTTATTCTTCTATACTGTCAGCAACTGAGGAGAGGAACGGGTTCATGTAACACTGGGTGCTGTCGTACATACCAAGAATAGGTACTTCATATAGCATGTGTGTGTGTGGGGGGGGGTGTATGTGTGTGCGTGCATGTGCACGTGCATGTGTGCGTGTGTGTGCATGTGTGTGTACATGTGTGTGTACATATGTGTGTGCATGTGTGCGTATGTGTGTGTACATGTGTGTGTGCATGTGTGCATATGTGTGTGTACATGTGTGTGTGCATATGTGCATATGTGTGTGTGTGTGTGTGTCCATGTCTATAGGTGTTTATGTGGATACACATGAATTTATATGTGAAATCTAAAGGTCTACTCCAGGTATCATTCCTTGCTTTTTGACCCTGGGTCTCTCATTAGCCTGGTGCTCACCAGTAGGCTATCCTGGGTGTTCAGCAAGGGATCTAGATGCCTGGCTCCACCTCCTTGGCAATGAGATTACAAGCAATCACCACCAGCCTGGCTTTTTAAACAAAACAAAACATGGGTTCTGAGCTTCATGGTTACAAGACAAGAACTTCACTGACTGCACTGTCTCTCTGGCCTCTTCATGAGGCTGCCACACAGCTGCCCAGAACAACCATCCTGGGACATAACTGAAAAAGAACTAGCTGCCTGCTTGCAGGGTAACAAGGCCTCTGAATGGCCTGAGCGAGGGGGCCAGGGTATGAAGGATAGAACAGAAAACAGTGAAATAACTTCCTGCCCACGGTTATCAGGTCAGCCCATGATGGAATCCCATAGATATTTCTTGGCTTTTAGTGCTCTTTTATTTTGTAGGAGAAAAGATTAATTAGACTAACCTGTGATCACCACTATCCCATCCTCCCAACAAGTTCACTACTCTGTCTTCTTTCAGTGGGAAAGCTCAAAGGTCTTGTGGCTCCTAAGGAGAGGCAGGCAGCCAGTCTAGGCCCTCTTTGATAGGCAGGAGCCAGAGGCCTAGAAAAGGCCATGTCTGACTACTGCCAAGTCTCTGACCACTTCTTCCACTAAATCAGCACATGGCTGAGTGAAGGAAGACTGGCCCCTTGTCTGGTCAAGGAAAGACATTCTCCATGTCCAGGACCAGGAAGAACAAGTGGTTTTCTAGGTGGAAAATATCATATGGACTGCCATGACAGGTTACCACCCACAGGACAGCTTACACACAGAAAGGTGTTTCTCATCATTTGTCAAGTTCAAGCCCAAGCTCAAGGTTCCAGGGTGTGTGGAATCTGATGAAGATACTCCCACTGTGTGCAGATGGTCACGAACTGTGTCCACTAGTAGGAGAAAGCAGGCAGAGGGGCACGCTCCTGCATGGCCCTTCTGGTACGGCACTAACCTCATTCATCAGGGCCCTACACTCAGACATAAGTATTTCCCAAAGGCTCCATTTCCCAACACTGTTAGAATTTCAACATGTGAGTTTCAGGAAAACTGCTCAGTGCGCACAGATGTGATTCCATTCTGCCTTTTTTTTTTCCACGCTGAGGATGGAGCCAAGGACCTTATTCATGTCTGGCAAGTCCACTAGCACTGAGCTACATCCCCTGCCTCTGGTCCTTCTTTCTGCAGTTGTCTGGAAAACTTAAGAGGCCCTTCATGGTGGCATTCAGCATCCTTCATCCTTCATTTGCTTTCCAGGAAACAGGGATAAGCTCTGAGGTTTCCCCAGCCTTACATCATTCCTCCTCAGGCATCCGGAGGGATCTGGATGACCACCATGCTTCCCATGGGAGAGCCTTTCCACCACAGGACTCTGACATCAAGAAGCCACACAGACACCACAGGGGTGAGAGCACAGCCCTGACACCTGCAATGGTAGTCCAGCTCCCCCATCCCTCCCCTCGTCCTCCCTCCTTCCCTGGATGCTGAATCATCCTATCTCTCAGGTACCCAGACAAAGGCAGAAGAGGCGTGGCCAACAAGGAAGAATGATGCCAGTCAGCAAACCAAGTGAGTTCCTTCTGTGTTCCTGACCCCAAAGCTTCATACCTCCTCTCTCCGCCCACATGTTTACTTGGAACAAGTCCACTGGACACACCAAGAGGAGCCCACCCCAAACGAGAAGGAAAAAGCCCTACCCACACTATTATATCACTTCAGCAGGGATGCCAGAGGCAGCTGAGATCCTGCCCGCTCACAGGTTTCATTCTTTGACCCACTGTCATGTTTTTCTTTTCTTCCCAGCTGCGGAGTTGCTGTGCTAGACAAGGTAAGAGGACCCTCATTTGGAGAGATCTGGCTCAGACAGCACCTAAGCGCTACTATTCAGGGATTCTGCAATAAACTCAGGATGGGGTGGAGGGATACCTTCTTCCAGGATGGTCAGATGGTCCTGAGCATAGATGTGGGGCCAGACGGACCCTGTGAGAGTCAAGGCAAAGGAGATCTGTTACATGCAAGCTGGTTCTGCACCAAAGTCCTCCTGAATCTCTTTCATCTCTCTCACTAGGATATCATTCAACTCTCTGAATACCTCAAAGTAAGTATCATGGTCACACACACACACACACTGTCGGCTCTCCACCGACTCTACCTCCAGGATAATCTTCCCTTTTGCATTTCCCTCTAGGAAGCCTTACAAAGGGAGCTGATCCTGAAACAGAAAATGGTGATTCTCCAGGACCTCCTGCCTGCCCTGATCCGGGCCTCTGACAGCTCTTGGAAGGTAAGAGTAAAACCTTCAGACAAGTACGCAGGCTTCTGCGCATGCCCACCGCATTCCTCTTAGCATACCATCTAACAAGGGAAGGGCTGTCTCACTGGGAAGAGGCAAAGGTGGAGATACTCAGATGCAGAGGTCAAAAGGGTCACAGTGAGTGTATACCTAGGGAAGACCCAGAAACAAAAGGAGACAGAGGCCTGCCTTTAAACCTGTGGAAAGACAAGAAGGAAATGCCTATGTAATGTTGTTACTGAGTATTGTCAAACTCAAGGGCTCTCACATGAGATTCTGTGTTTTTTAGTTACCTTTGTTGTTGATGCATCGAAACACCCGACAAAGGCAACTTCCAAGAAAGGGCCAGTTTTGGTTTATGGTTCTAGAGTATGATCCATCGTGGCGGGAAGGAGGGTCATGGCAGCAGGAGACTGTGAGGCAACTGGTCACATTCCTTCCATAGATAAGAAGTCAAAAGAGAAAGGCTGGTGTTCAGCTGGCTGTCCTTACTTTTTCTTTCCATCTGGAGATCCAGCCCATGTAATGGGACAGCCCCTTCCATCGGGAAGCCCAGTCCATGGAAGGGACAGCCCCTTCGCAGGTGGCTCTAACCACCTCTGTGATGTAGAAGCTCCCGTGCAGACACACACAGGGGTTTGTCTTCAGTGTGATTCTAAATGTCATCAAGCCAACAATCAAACCTAACCATCGAAGATCCATACCAAGGTTCACACAAGTCACACAAGCCTGTGACAATACTCAGCCTGGAAATGGGGGCCAGAATAGAGAAGTCGTAACGGGTGATCTAGTCTAATTTTCTGTTTGCTGTAACAGGCCACAAGGCCTTGCCCAAGTCATAAAACCCTAAGTTCACGTCTCTAATGATGGTCTGTTCGTTCTCTAGATAGTTGAAGGCCATGTTCCTGCTAACAAGTACTAGGAATTTGCTCTTTAGGAAGTTTCATAGTTCCTAAAATTCAGAGTTTTGAAAATGAAACATGTGCCAAAATAATACAAAGACATGGTAAAAAATGAAACACTTCCAGGGTAGAGCAGACAACAGGAGGGAACAGACAACTCCAGAGAAGGGAGCCGAGGATGTTGTCTCTAAAAGAGGTTTATTTATCTTATGTATGTGAGTGCACTGTAGCTGTCTTCAGACACACCAGAAGAGGGCATCAGATGCCATTACAGATGGTTGTGAGCCACCATGTGGTTGCTGGGAATTAAATTCTCTCTGGACCTCTGGGAAGAGCAGTCAGTGCTCTTAACTGCTGAGTCACCTCTCCAGCCCCGACATCAGGATTCTTTATGCTAATTTTTAACTGAAAATTCCAAAGAACTTTGGATTTATACCACATCAAAACTTACCTTGTTAAAAATTAAGACAGAAATTCAGAAATATCAGTTTTGAAATGACAACAGTCAAGCATCATTTGCTCACTCAAGTTATGTATTTTAATGAAGAACTCTTGTTTTCAAAAGGATAAAAACAGAGAAGCGGCACTTACAGTAGACATTTATAATATCTAGCTGAACGAAAGACAACTAAACTCTATTTGCTCCTGAATTCAACCTCCTGAGATTCACTCTTTTAGCTGAAGTATTTGAAAGCATTCAGTGTCACGGAGACACGTGCTCAAAAGGGAGAGAGACCTTGTGGATCCCTTGAAAGAGTCTCTGGGAGCTCATGTATTGAGCAGATGATAAGGACATTGGTGCCACCAAAGCCTAAGGCAGCAAGCGTGTTAAAGGAGAATGTCAGCCTCTCAGGCCCCCATTCACCTCACTGGTAGGAAGCTTTATGCTTAAAGAAGTGAAACAGGAAGTTACAAAATACTCGAGGAAGTTTGCAGTGACACAGAAGACCACCACTCCCACCCTGCAAGCCAGTCACTGGACCTGGAGTCAGGAGTCTCTCAGGTCAGGCCTCCGGTTGCCAAGTCATTTCTACTGGCAGAGCAGGAGCCTGAGTCAGGGCAGCTGGGCATGTGAGGTGGTTTCCGGTACTGAGCTAAATTGAGCTCATCTCATGCACCCCTTCAGCAGATACTTAGTGACTTTCAACTCTATGCCGGGGCTTCAGGAACAAAAAGAAATAGAGCCCTTGCCTTGATAGACTCACAGTCCAGCAAGGAAGAGTCCCAGCAGACAATGCCAGTGAGACAGGGCTGCAAATGTATGTGCAGTGTGACACAGAAAGACAGAGGTTCTGCCTGAGGTAGAGTAAGGAAGGCTCTGAGCAAAGAGACCATGTCAGCTGGGCGTTACAGATGAGCTGGAGCTCACCAGTTCAGAAGTAGCTTGATGAGGAGGAAGAGCAGAAAAACACTTAGGGAATTAGAATGTTTACAGGCCTAGGTGTGCAGAGCACTGGGTATAGCCCAAAGCAGTAGACAGGAAGTGACCCTGTCTGAACAGCACCACACAAAGACCTCTCTCACAGTTTCACAACAAGAGACGTGAACCTTTTCTGTTAAGGTTTGCTTCAGATTTAATGAAAAGCCACACAAACACATAAGTACATATTTGTACATGTGTGTGCATGTGTGTCACAGCAGACATTTTGTTTTGGAATGGCCCGTGAGACTGCATGCCACCCCCAGCCTGAGCAACCCGTTTGTCTTTGGAGGAGCTCGGTCACTACAGAACTCAACTGAAAGGAACGATCTGATTTGTGTTCCTAGCTTCTCTAATCAAAGGCCCAGCTGAGTGAGGGGTGGGGCCCTGGAGAAGTCTAGAAAGCCCAGGTCAATTGTGCTTAGTGGGAATGAGGCAGATACTGTAAGAGCTATTTGTATAGATCTCAGGATTCTGAGACAGGAGGTTTCCAAACTCCAGACCAGCCTGGGCTATATGTTGAGGCCCTGTCTTCTTCTTTTTTTTTTTAAGCCATTTGTATCATAAACATGGCAGAGGGTGCTATTTCACCCCAGGCTCCAGCTCGGTTCCTCTCTCCCATCTTCCTGCCCTTCCCAGGTCTCACACACTTCTCTTGTTTCTCCCACCCCAAGCCTCCAGCTTCCTGAATTTAAGAAAAGTCATCCATAACTGTTCATTTGAGAACCCTCGCGTCTCCCAAAACAAAACATGTCCAATCCCACCCCTCCTGAGAAAGCATCAGTACGCCATCAGACTGTGGCCCCATTTGGTGATTTAAGGAAAGTAGTTGAATGAATGAGATCAGAACTGGGACTCAGACTTCAGCCCAGTGTCCACTTTGTCCTTTCCACTCGGGTCCACGTATGAGCCTCCAGATCCTCATGCAAGTCTGTTCCTGGCAAGACCTAGAGAAGAACTCCAGGATCAGTGCCCCTGAAGACACCTCTAGGGACTGCTAAGAACCTAGAGCTGGGTCTGACCACTAGCACAAAAGTAGCTCTACCTGCGGAGGAAGCTGGAGTCAAGCACTAGGGCTTTAAGATCAAAGCAGAACTGAGATCCTGAGATGACAGCGCAGAGAGCTTCACACACTATGCAAGCTGTTAGGGGAGAGATGAGCAGCCATGAGAAGGGGCTTCTGTGATGAGGTGTCGTGTTTCTGGAGACAGAGCTGAGGCAGGGGACCAAACAGCAGTAGGATCTGAAGTCCTGGACCAACACCATGTGTGTGTGGCCTCTTTGCTGCCTTCCTCCACCAGGGTTGGCCTTTCCAAGGTGCTCCAGGATCCTGGGGTAAGGTCTGTAACCTTAGAGCCTCTCAGATGCTCTAACACTGATGGCAACATGGGGAGAGTTGGGGGCAGGAAACCGTGTGCTCCATTTGCAGCAACTTGGCTGGGACTTTCCTGCTTGCCTTAGGGAGTCTGGGAAGACAGAGCTGTGGACAAGAGATTTTGTTCAAGCCCTAGACTTGGGTGGCAGCCCCTATTCCTACTTGAAAGGGGATACTGTAAATTGTCTTGTATTGCAACATAAGTGGAAAAATAATCTGGGGGTTGGCTGAAATACATAAACACTTGGAAGAGGAAAATACTGAATGAACATGATACTACAGAATAGGATGGTGCCCAGAGGACATTTCAAGGGCACGATCTGGGGCTTATGTTCCTTCCAAGCTGTAAGGAGCCAATCTTTAAACTTGGTGGGTTTGGCTGGCTTCTGCACTGTAGAGTCTGGGCAAAGAAAAGTGCATGCACTTAGTGGGAAGACCAACACAGAGTAGGGCGGGGTGGGGCCAGCTTAGTGCGAAGCCGCCAGACTGACAGTGAACAGGCCCCTCTGGGGAATGCAGCTGTTCTACCACTTACCCCTGTGCCTGAACAGTGGAAGCCTTTGTCCTCCTCTTTCATTGGTCCCAAGCCCTGTGGTTATTGTCAATGCCAAATCCCTTTCTCTCTGCTCTTTCCCACATGCGGGGCTGAGAAAAACATTAATAGTAGGAGGCACTTTAAAAAATTGTTTTTGGCAAAGGTTTTTGCTTTTGCAAGGCCCAGCTGAGTAACACAGGAAGCAGCAAGGGTGGGGGCTCCCCCTGACCCATACAGTTAGAAGAATTAAACAAATAAGATCAAAACAGGAGCCGTGTAATACCACTTCCTGCCTTCCCGGGCACCCTGACTCTCAGAAAGAGAGGCCCACCTCATCCTAGACACCCTCATCCCTTGTCTTTTTAGCCATGAGGGCTGGAAGTGTTTGTTGGTTTGATGCCAGGAGCTACAACATCCAGGCCTGGAGAAAGGTCCCCCAAGAGTCCCTCAGGACTTGGGTGGACAAGTCAGAGAAAGAATATGAAAACCATTACAGACTAACTGCTCACAGGCCTATCTCTAAGAAACATACTCTCATTACTGGCACCCCAGCTACTCCAGACAGATACACCCTGGACAAAGCTCAAGGCTGGCAAAGGGCGTGTATACAGGTACAAGGATCAACAAAGCAGCTGAAATGCTACAAGACTAGAAACCAGAGCTGCACCTCCGCTCATCTTTCTCTGCTTGGTGTTAGATCAAGGGATACCTTAAAGTGCCATGAGGCACCTTAGGACCTGGGGCTCACGGAGTGGGGCACGGACAGACCAGTAGATTGTCGCAGCTTCTGAATTCCTCTGTGACTTTCTCAGAAGCCCTCTTACCCCTTCCTGTGCCCACACCTACTCTGCTTCATATCTGTAGGTCCATTTCTCATTTTTCAAAGAATTTCCCAGGAGTCTTGCCAGACAGGGAAGGACACAAACACCAGTAGTCAGTCCTCTAGAGCCACAGGTTCCAAAGCCTCAATTCAACCAATGTTGGATTGAGAATAACTGAAAGGGAAAAAAATCCTGTTTTTCTTGTCTTTCTTGCAATTAGTCCCAAGTCTGACATTTATATGGTATTTCCAGTGTACTGTGAGTGAGTCAGAGACAATTTTAAGCATATTGGAAGATGTGCATACGCCTTAGATACATGTACACATTTATATACAAGGGAGTTGAGCATTCTGAGAGGCTCTAACTAACCCTCGGTGGTTATGAAAGGATTGCCATGACAGAGAGCTCCGCCCCACTGTCCTGAAATCAAGGTATCACCTGTTCCCATCTCCTGCTGCATGGGTTGCTGACATCCGTCTTGTCTTTTGTTGTCTTCCCCCAGTTTATCCTGGTGTTCTGGTCTTGTTTTAGAAAAACACCATCAGACTAGACTAGAATTAAATCTGACTGCATTTAACTTCATTGAAAGTGCACCTCTGTCTTAGTTAAGGTTTTACTGCTGTGAACAGTCACCATGACCAAGGCTACTCTTATAAGGACAACATTTTATCATGGCTGGCTTACAGGTTCAGAGGTTCAGTCCAGTACCATCGAGGTGGGAGCATGGCAGCATCCAGGCAGGCATGGTGCAAGAGGAGCTGAGAGGTCTACATCTTCAACTGGAGGGTACTAGCAGAATACTGGCATCCAGACAGCTAGGATAAGGGTCTTAAGCCCACGACCACAGTGACACACCTACTCCAACAGGGCCACACCTCCTAATAGTGCAGCTCCCTGGGCCAAGCACATTCAAACCATCACAACCTCCAAATATGCTCCCATTCTAGATAGAGTACTGCAGCTCACTGCAGCGTACAAACCTGAAGGTGAACACAACTCAACCACTAACAAGGAGCTGGAACAAATACAGATTCTTCCCAGGAGAAAAGACCAAAAGCTGTGTGCCAGTGCTTTACAGACAAAGGTCCAGGTCCAAGATGAAAGGAGGCAAGGAAAGCAAGAGCAGGTCCATAGGGAGACAGTTTAGAACTCTCTCTCTCTCTCTCTCTCTCTCTCTCTCTCTCTCTCTCTCTCTCTCTCTCTCTCTCTCCTTCTTTGATGTTTGGGGCATTTGTTAGAGGAACTCAAGGTACAAAGAGGATGTGAGGCCAGTCTGGATCGCCCCTGACCTGCAGAGAGAAGACCGACTTCCCTTCAGAACACCTTAGCCACCTCTGCACCTGGAGGGGTAGGCCCACAGCACCAAGCTTTGGCTGTGAAACAGGGCTGGAGAGATGTAGCTAGCCTCTTTGCATTGTTCGTTTATCTGCTTGTCTGTTTGTTCTGCCTTAGCTCACCATCGAATCCTTTACTTTAGGGGCAGCTTAATGAAGACAAACTGAAAGGCAAACTAAGATCCCTAGAAAACCAGCTCTATACCTGCCTGCAGGTAAGCATTCCGGAGAACACTTCTAGCACATTCACTTCAACAGAATTAAAAATGTTTGACTCTCAGCCCCGCCTTCTAGAAATGCTACCAAATGGAGAGTAGCATGCCAACTCTTGCCTCACTGTGCTTGCCTGCGTCACGTTGTCCCTAACTGGCATGTAACCACCTCCAACTGCCCCTTCTTTGTCCTACCATGCATGACTTTGTACCCTTGGAAGGAATTCCGACACTAAACAGTTGTTGGCTCCTCGGGAAGTGTAGGGAGAAGCCACTGGTGAAGATTCACACCATACAGTCTCCAGAGACCCCAATCTGAGGACAGACAAAGAGGCTCTAACAGAAAATCACAAAAACGGTTTTCATCTCAGGAAGGAGGGGGTTTGTTTGTTTGGTTTTGTTTTTGTTTTTTTAGCAGAAACCCTGAGGAAGGAAAAACTCCTAAAGAACGTGCTGTTAGTGTTCAGCTTCAGTAATCGCTGGATTTGGCCTAGTCCCAGGTTACAATAAAAGACAATCAGTTCCCCTGACAGGCGGAGATACCAATAAAGGAGGTGGGAGAACAGGGGCCAGCAAGAGGGCTTAGTAGGTGCTTGCCACCAAGCCTGACGACCTGAGTTCAATCCCTGGGATCCATATGGTAGAAGGAAAGATCTGCATCTCCCTCACAAGTTGTCTCTGACCTCTACATACACTCTGTATATGTGACAAGTACACACACACACACGCACACACACACACATGCACACGCACACATACACACACACATACACACACACACGCACACACACACACAGGTGCATGTAAAAAATATTGAAGGAAACATAAGGAGGGAATGGGTGGGCTTCTCTCATGTGGCACCAGAGGGATCAACAGTTTCCTACACAGCTGAGGACAATTTATACTGTCTATAGCAGCGGTTCTTAACCTGTAGGTCATGACCCCTCTGACAAACTTCTATCTCCAAAAATATGTCCATTACATTTATCATAGCTATACCAAAATTACGGTTATGAAGTAACAAAAAAAGTAATTTTATGGATGGGCTCACCACAACATAAGGAAGCTGAAAACCACTCACTAGTCCCTAGGTTTCCAGGTCTACGTGTTTGCTTGGCTTTGATGTGAGCTGCTTTGTCAGGCTCTTAGCTAAAATATGCCCACCAAACTTGTAAGAGACCAGCACGAAAGCTGGAACGCAAGTCTTTAATTTGGTTGTTGTTGAGAAAGGTGTAGTTATTAGGCTGACCTTGAACTTGTGACCCTCCCACCAGCCTCCCCAGTACTGGAGTCACAGATAGAAGCAACTATGCCAACATAGTCTATTAATGTTTCTATTGGAAATGAAGCTAACCTGTGATTGCTATAGTAACTGGGACATCACCATGTTTGGCTTCAACCAGTCACTGTTGGGCTTGACTTTTAATGAAAATCCTAAAAAGCAGAACACCCTTGCAGATACAAAAACAAAAGTCCAGACAATCCCAAGATGAGACAAAATGATTGTTAATGACCCTCTCCTTAGCTTTCGTTGTCTGGACTTACCCAGATGGGTGTAGAATTGATTGTAAAAGCTGCCCGCCTTCCCCGAAATTACTAGGCAAAAAGGAGAGGTAACAAGGGCTATCAACACTTCATGGATCTGCAAATCTGATTTGGGGGTGTTTTCCTTAGTCCTAAAACCAGGGGAAACATCTACTGCAAATGTACTCTTTTAGAACACCAAGTCTGCAGATCCCCGGGGCCATTTTCTTTTAAACAGCAGTGTGTTTGGAAACTGTTTCCAGTGGCGTGAGGGGGACTCATCCACAGAGCAGAGCAGTGGAGGGGGTGGGGCTAATTATCAGAAATTCCAAAAACATGGGCCCCATTCTCATAAATGCAAATATGCCAATGCTTAAACAAACAAGCCACCAGAGCTGAGGATAGAGGAGTTAGTGAGATTTAACAGAATTGGTGTGTTCTCTACTTCTGGAGCACAGCAGAGGCTACTGGGCGAATGGATGGGGAGGTAGGCTGTGGTGGAAGTGCCCTACTGATGGCAGGCACCTCTCAGACAGCCTGGGAGACTCCTCTGCTCAGCTTCAGCCTGACGACAAGGCCCATCACATGACCGGTATCTCTCTACATTGAGTACGAGACCTACAGTATTCACAGGTGTCTATCCCTGCCTTCTGGTAGATAGTTCAACGCGTATTTGTTGAACTGCTTCTGATTTACAGAAACACTCCCCCTGGGGGATGAAAAAGGTACTACTGGAGATGGAGGACCAGAGAAGCAGCTATGAGCAGAAGGCCAAGGCTTCGCTGCACAGAGTGCTGGAGGAGAAGATGCTTGCAGAGCAGCAGCTGCAGACGGCGCAGGTAGAGATGCTGTGTAGCTCCTGGGGCTGGGACCCTGGGAGCAGTCCCCAGAGCAAGGGGGCCAACCACCACTGCAGGGAGCCTGCTCCTCAACTTCATCCTGCATTCTGAACTCCAGGAGTTCAGTGTGTTCCCTTTCTCTCAGCTTCTGCTCCTTGGGAACCTTCTCTCCTCTGGTCTCTCTCAGCTGTCCCTGGCTTTGGCAGAGCAGAAGTGTCTGGAGTGGAAGAGCCAGTACGAGGCTCTCAAGAAGGACTGGAGGACCCTAGGGGACCGGCACAGGGAGCTGGAGAGCCAACTGCATGTGCTTCAGTCCAAACTACAGGTACCAGGCCCGGGGAGTGGGAGAGGAAGTGGGGCAGAAGGGGGAAGAGGTCTCCTGGGTTGGGCCGCAAAGGCTGGATACATACATGGAACAAGTAGCTTTCAAGTCTTCATCCACTGCCCACTTAGTACCAGACTCACTGTTTTGCTCTGAATTATAAGTGTGTACTTAGAGGGAATGCCTACACTGCCCATGCAAATGAACTAAGTACCCACTGGAAAGACAAAAATGCCTGGGTTGGAACATTCATCTGGTTGATCAGCCTACCAACTGCACACTATTCAGACACCATCCCAGCAGGGCACCCAGTGCACAACTGCCCACTGCTTTGCACACAGTAAATGTTACTGGTTTACTGACAGGTGCTAACACGTCTTCCCTTCTTCTTCACAACATTACAGTAAATTCTTGGCATACTCAAAAGTTCCTACACTTTCAGTCTGCCACCTTAGAAAATCTAATTAACCTCCATGAGCCTGTTTCCTCTGAGGGTCTTCTGTTGCATGGGTTAAATGTGAATAGGCACAGAAAGTGTGTAGCATAGTCTCTGGTACATATGAACCTTGACTCAGGTTAGCAATTACTTTACATGTGTTTCCTCTGGCCTGGGTGGAGGCCTAACATCCTAAGCTCCCCAAAACATATTAATCAATCCACTTGGGACAGTCAATCTTCTGGCTAATGAACCACCCATCAGGAAGGCAAATTCACCTTAAGCCAAGCCAAAGAAGGAAGAATAATTATTCTTTCAGTGTGCTTTATGTACTTTCCCTTTCTAGAACGCCCGCCCCTGGTGTAGTCACTCACAGCGTCATGGCCATGCTACTTGGACAAGCCTGCCCATTCTTCCGAATTTCTCAGAAAAGCGTAACTTTTCTTCTTTGTGTCTTCTTTCTTCCTAGCACTTGCCGAAGCCTAGGCGTGCTTCCAGAATACCGGGCTTTCTCTCTGAAGTTACTCTCTATCCCCTTTGCCATATGGCTGCTTGCCAAACCACCAAACCTCCATCCCTAACTCAAAAGGCATGGCTTTCTTTCCCTTTTGTCCACCTTTGACCTCCAGGCAGCTGCTGAGATTCACAGAATTCCCATTCTGCTTCTGTCGTCATTGTTACTGTTTTGGGGTTGTTTTGTTTTGTTTTTAGTCTTCTTCAGAATCTGTTCTTAGTATTTTTAATGTCAACAATCTTTCTTAGATATTTTTATTCTCAAGATTATAATTACATTCTCCCTTCTTCTTCTTCCCTCCAAACCCTCCCCTACCTCCCTCCCAGCTCTCCTTCACGTTCCTAGCCTCTTTTTCACCAATTGTGATTGCATGCATATATATTCCTGAATATAACCTGTTGAGTCCATATGTTACTTGTATGAATGTTTTCAGGGCTGACCATTTGATCCTGGACATCCAGTTAGTATGTTCTTCCCTGAGGAAGAGCACCTCTCCTGCTCCCAGCTTTCCTCAATTACCTACCATTCTCTGTGGAGGGTTGAGGCCATGGGCTCTCCCCCATATGGCATGCCCACTGGTGGCCTCCATTTAACTTCACAGTTGGACAGCCATGTTGGTGAGACTTTATGGGTGTTGACGTTACTAGGAGACACAATCTCACAGCAAACTCTCTGATCCTCTGGCCCTTACGATCTTTCGGCCTCCTCTTTTGCAATGTTCCCTGAGCCTCAAGTATAGAGTTGTTTTTATAAGCTCTATTCATTGCGACCAGGCTCCACAGTTATGCATTTTGATCGGCTATGGTTTTCTGTGGTGGTCTCCATCTGTTACAGACAAGTTTCCTCAATGTGTTCTTAAATTATTTTATTAACAAATCAAAGAACTCAGAGAGGAGACCCAATTTCCCTAGTCACCTATGGCACCTCAGATGAGGCTCCCCAAAATTTTCAGTTAACACATAGGTTTCGCATACTTAGTTTGAAACTTTCAAGATCTGTCCCAATCTTTACAATTTCCCCCAAACAAGAATAAGAAAAAAATATACTTGATGGAAGAGGGTATGAGACGTTTGGAGGCACAAATCTTACTGGCCACAACACGACATCCACATCTTAACTTTACGAGTTTCTTCCTGCCATGCCTAAGGCAGTTCTTAGGAAAGTGTTTTGAGGATTTTTTTTTCCTGTTCCTTCCCTCTCCCTCTTGCTCCAGCTCTACTCACTCCAGGCCCTGTTCGCTCATATGAGAGCATCAGATCTCATTACAGTTGGTTGTGAGCCACCATGTGGTTGCTGGGATTTGAACTCATGACCTCCAGAAGAGTAGTCAGTGCTCTTAACTGCTGAGCCATCTCACCAGCCTATTTTGAAGTTTTTAAACCTTAATTCTTTATGAAAACAGCCTTAGCTGCCCCTCTTCCTCAAAAACTGATCATGCCAAAATAAAGAGCAAGTAAAACATTTAGAAAAGTTCTGGCTTGGTGCGGAGATCTGTCAAGACATCAAGTCATCCCCCCTGTAAGTATCAAGTCAGAAGCACTGCCATAAACATAGGGGATAGGGCAGAACAAAGGGGAGGGGAAAGCTTCCACCTCCTGACACCTCATCTCTTAAGTTCTACCACATCCTGTCCCTTTCCACGGCACCTGCTCTGTCTCCAGGCACACTAACCTGCTGCTCTGTGGCTCCTCCCCCTCCTCTTTGCAGGGAGCAGACAGCAGAGACTCACAGATAAGCCAGGCCCTGCGACTTTTAGAAAATGAGCACCAGGAGCTGCAGACCAAACTCGAGAGCCTGCAGGGAGACCAAAAGCAGCGGAGCTCTGAGACCCAGGACCTACAAGGTACTAGTCGTCTTTGAGGTCATAGGGTCATGAGAACCACAACTGAACGGGCACAGAGGAAGGAGGCTGTGAGGAGAGGCTTGGGTCCTCATTTGTGCTTGGCCCTACGATTTCGTTTTTCACTGAGGGAAATGCAGGGAAATGTCAATCAACCAAAATGAACATTAGCTTTGCTTCATCTGAGGACTGTGCATAGTCTATCTTCCAGCTTGTCCCTGTGGGCCAGACCTTAGCTGCACAATATACTAGTCACACACAAAGGCCAGATACCTAATTTGAAAGAAAAAGGTTAGTACGAACACAAGCAGGATGAAGGCCTCCTAGCTGTGCCTGTGTGGGCTGAAAGGACCCACCAGGGTGTGTACACAACTTCATGATGTTCCTATGTGAATGCTGGCCCCTCCCTTCAGATCTGAAAGACACCTGACACTCCCAGGCCACAGAGGACAGGACTTAGCTCTCATTTCCAGCCTCTGGTGCTCTCCTATTTCCGTTTGTATTCTCTCACTTTCAGATCAACTAAGGAAGTCAGAGGAGGAGAGACAGGCCCTGGTGAACAGAATACAACAGCTACAGAGTAAGTTTCCTTTTTAGGGTTCAACCTGCACAGGCGGTTCCTGTTGCTGCTGATTACAGAAGGCATTCGAAGGCACTGAGCCATCCAGGCTCTAGTGTGTCCTGTTTCTGAGCCACTTCCTGCAAGGGTGTGGGAGGGTCTTCTGCACAGCTCTCCACGAGTTAAATGGTTTCTTTCCCAAGTCATACATTAGTGTCTGTTCTTGTGTTTCCTATTTGTGTGTGTGTGTGTGTGTGTGTGTGTGTGTGTGTGTGTGTGTGCATGTGTGCACACAAGCCCATGCACGATGCAGAGACAAGGGAGCTGGAGGGTGTTGAGTATCTTCCCTATTACTGTCTGCCTTAGTTCCTTAAGAAAGGGTATGTCACTGTTTTCCAGCGAGGCTGCCTAGCCAGCAAGCCCCAGCCATCTTCCTTTCTCTGTCCCCAGAACTGATAGCATTAGGGTAATGGGAACAGGCAGCCACAGCCAGCTTTTTACCTGGAGCTGGCATTCTAAACACAGGTCCTCCTAATCACAATGTTGGACAGAAGGATCTAGGCAACAATGGAAATGCACATATTAATCCTCCAAGCTGGGCTGGAGAGATGGCTCAGTGGTTAAGAGCACTGGCTGCTCCTCTAGAGGTCCTGAGTTCAATTCCCAGGAACCACATGGTGGCTCACAACCATCTATAATGGCATCTGATGCCTTCTTCTGGTATGTCTGAAGACAGCTACAGTATAGGCTTTCTAAGGTAGTTCTTTTCTTATACATTCTATGGAATGAACAAGTCACTTACATCTTTCTCACTAGAGTGGTTCAGAAAAGAAGCATTCATCAATCCCATACACAAAGAGTCGGGCATCCCAGCCATAGACACTGAAGTATACGAACAAACAAAAGTAATAGTTTCTTAAGAAACTTCCATTCTAAACAAGTCCAGAGATAGGTGTTTCATTAAAAAAAAAAAATCAGTGTATGTGAAGTCACAAAAACTACTATAGAGAAAAAAAGAAGCAGGTTAAAGGTAAAATTAATCACCGTTTGGTAAAATGTCACCTGGGAACGTGTTCCTTCAGAGCCACAGCTGAAGCTGGCATAAGGATGGTTTATTTGTAAGGAAGTACCAGATTAGGTGATGTGGACAAAAATCCGAGCTGTTCCACAGATCTGGAGGCTGCAGACCAAAGTCACGCTGCCCAGAGGATCAGGGCCTTCTGCTGTAAGGTCCACTCCAGGCCTCCGGCAAGTGTCTTTACATCACTTGCCCTGGAGCATGTGTGGGTGTAAATGTCCCCTTTCTGAGATCACCAGTTATCTTGCTGAGGTTTCATCTTTTTTTTTTTTTTAATTACTCACTCTGTTTATTGAATCGACAGAAGGGAATACAAAGGACTGAAGTGCTATGCACTGACATGGAAAAGGTGGGGTTAAAATAAAATGTAAAAATCCCAGTAAAGCAAATCAAAGTTATTGTGATTTTAATAAAACAAAAAAAATTAAAGACATTTAATATACCACACATTTATAAAATGTCAACCAAAAAGTGTCTTGTAAATAATTAGTAGAACAAGTGAAAATAAATATGAGACCTGAAGTTTTTATACTTTAATGAAATAAAACAAAGAAATTTAAACTACTAAATATAATCTGAGAGGCAGTTAAAAAAGCAAACCCCAAAGTTTAAGAACACAGTCCTCTGGAAACATCTTTCAGTCCATAGTTAACTGTTCCTGAAGTTTCATCTTAATGACCTATGTTTAACCACTTTTAAACATAAAAGCCTTTTTAAAGACTCCATCTCAAGGAAGTTCACATTACGGGGTTAAAACTTCAATACAAAACTTCTGAGGAATGCACTGTTCCATCCCTAACAGATGATAACTAATCTTTTATAACTGAGGCCCCAAGCCAATGTCTGAAATGAATCTTTACAGTAAGTCTGTGAGCACAGACAGACAAGTTCCTTTTGTCTCCCAACAGGTCTGCTTCAGAATCAATCCTTACAACTTCAAGAACAGGAGAAACTCTTAAAGAAAGGTCAGCAAATTTCCTCCCACTAAATGTTGCTCTTTCTTTACCTAAGGCTGGGGAAAGGACTACATGACTTCTTGGGGTCCCTCCCACTTCTGAGTCTGTGAAGTCAGGGAGGTAGGGGAAACGTTCTGAGAAACAATCACTGGCCTGGAGACTTCAGCCAGCTACCTACTCTGGGAGGTATATAAACTGTGGGAACGAGTTTCTACTTTCTCTGAAAACATGTGTCTCTGTTGAACATTTCAATAAATTGATTTTGAACTCAGGATTTCATGTCAGTTTTTACAGAGTTGACTTTACACATCACATCCAACGTCTCAACCCAACCATACGGTATACAAAGAATCCTCTTCCTCTAACCCTAACCATTCTGGAGCCCAAGCTTGCTAAGGGCTCATCAGCCACAGAGAGGCTCCAGTAGCTCCTCAGCTAGCCACAGCACCGTCTGTTGTCTTATTCTCCCCACTACTGGGTGTAATACAGGAGAATGTAGAAATGAGTGTGGCCTCACAGCATGGGTAAGAACATAAAGAGCTCTGATCATGTAAATTAACAACTGAACTAAAGCAATAGCCCTGAACTTGAGTTCAGTGCTGTTTTCAGTAAAACTAGGGCTACAAGGTACCAGAAACCAGCTTTACAGTATGAAGAGACAAGTCTAAAATGACTTCCATTTTCAAGACTTTAAAATGAGGGTGCAAGCCGGGCTGTGGTGGCACACGCCTTTAATCCCAGCACTTGGGAGGCAGAAACAGGCGTATTTCTGAGTTCAAGGCTAGCCTGGTCTACAGAGTGAGTTCCAGGACAGCCAGGGCTACACAGAGAAACCCTGTCTTGAAAAAACAAAAAAAAAAAATAAAAAAAAATAAAAATAAAATGAGGGTGCAAAGAGGAAACATTAAGCAAATCTACATGAGAAACTAGATACTATATGACTAATGAAAACCATTTCAATTCATAAACATTCACAAAAAGTATCAGATTCAAAGAAAATCAAGACAAAGTTAAAGAAAAATAAGATGTCGACCTTGCCTCAATGGTCCAAACTTCAGCTGTGTGTCTAAGCCACTTATGTTTGTTCTGTTGTTTTCCATACAGGGTCTCACTATGTAGCTCTGGCTACATAGTGAGGTGTCCTGGAACTCATAGTGATCCACCTGCTTCTGCCTCCCAATTGCTGGGATTGATGGCATGCAGATGCCATTGTGCCAGCACACCAGAGTTATTTAATGCAGAATGTTCTACTCCATTCAGTGAAGCTATAGACAAACACACCATCTCCCTGCTCTGCACATGCTAAGGGTTCACATGACGTGTCAGGCCCTCACAGACAAAGGCCTTACTGTCACTAAAGAGTCTGGCTGCTTTTTTAGATCAGGGTTTGCCTGTGTGGAATCCAAAGCTCTCCCTTGATGAATTGAAGCCTGAGGGTACAGAAAAGGAGAAAATTGAGGAGCTCAGAGACCAACTACAAAAAGAGACATCTCAGCTCCGGGCCAAGGAAAAGGAGGTGAGGAGGTGACCTCAGAGTGTGAGGGCTCATCTAGATTGACAGCGCTCATCCAGAGAGTGAGGGCTCGTCCAGACTGTTGTGTTCATCCAGATTGTGAGGGTTCATCTAGACTGGGGTGGGGTGGGAGTGGGGCAGAGAAACCTTCTAGGAGGCAACTGGAAAGCAGGAACCTCTAAGCTTAAATTGTTACTGGATGACCACAAGTGTTCATTTTCTTCTATAAATGTTTTTATTCTTGGATTGACTTGAAACCTTTCTCCTTCCTAACTTATAACAACCTCTATTGGTAGCCTATTAGAAAGTCAATCAGAACACAAAAATATCTGGTAAACACATTCACTTCTTGTATTGTCATATACTAAGGATCAGCATGCTTTATTTTACATTGTATCTTTTTTAACAAACACTTTCCTAGGAACATTCTTCTAAACTCACAAACCCTTGGAAGTGTGCAGAAGCAACTAGATTCCAAGAGAGACGGGTCCTCCAACTATTTCGAAGTCTTTTGTGAAGAACTTACTTTTTATTTTTATTTATTTTTTTTTAGTTTGCCCACATACAAAGTACTTTCACAAAGTCACATGAAAGCATTTACATGTATTGGAACCAATAAGCCGGCTCAGTAGGTAAAGAAAAGCACCTGCTGCCAAGCCCGAGGACCTGAGTTCAATCCCTGGAACCTACCATATAGATGGTAGAAGGAGAGAAGTGACTTAAGAGTTGTCTTCTGACTTCCACACATGCACAGCATATTAGTGTACATACATACATACACAGACATGTGTGTGCACACACTCACACACACTACCAACAATGTAAAAACATTGAAAGTGTTCCTATATGTAAAACGTAATATATGCATCATAACCAATCTTACAGCTCAATATACTCTCAATAAACTGTGACAGGAAGAAGACTAAAATCTTTGAGAATATTGGGGAAGAATGGTTCACTTAGAACAATGAAGGAGTGTGGTACTCAGGGCGGTCTCTTCCAGAGTTCTGTTGAAAAGAGGATTGGTGACACCTCACTATGTTCTGCTCAGTGCAGAGAGCTGTATTCGGAATTAGACATCCTCAATGAGAAATACCTCTCCTGTCTACATCACTGTCAAGAAGTGCTGAGCCACAGCCAGGAGCCAGCTCCCAGAGTAAGAGGGGCCATCCTCCTCTACAGCCCTACATGACAGTGGGGTAGTTCCTTTTTAAGCCCAGTGTTACAGATAAAATATATCAGTCCACACCAACGTCTGGTCATCCTGTACCATTCCACTTTATTTACACTATGCCAACGATACAGCAAACATGAAAGAAACACTGTCTATTATCTACCCCGTTTTTATGCATCTCTAGGGTCTAGAAGACAGGAGATTAAGCACCCTCGTTGTGGAAACCTGACATGTTCTCCATCCAGAACATACCGTGCATACAGGAGCACGATGCTCAAAAGCTTCAAATAATTTCAAATATTCTGGATTCAAGATGTCTTTTTTATTATGTTTGCTCAAATGGTAAAGTCTATACAAATACTACTGGGGAAAAAAAAAAAGAAGAAAAAATACAAAATTAGGATGCCTCCTAATCCCAAGCATTTCAGAAAACGGATACTCAGCCTGTGTTGGTTCAGGAATGAAAGAGTATTCTTTTGATTTATTGTGAACATAATGACAAGGGCAGGGGAGAACCGCAAAAGTATTGAGGCACACGAATAGAATGTTATTCTGCTGAGTTACTTTCCACCTTCGATTACTCATACCAGCATTTAAATATCTGTCCCCTGTCAGATGAGTCTGTAGGCCACTAGTAACCTGCTTTTACCTCAGTGGAAGTGACAAAAAGTTAGGGAGACACTGAAGAGAAAAAAAAAAAAAAAGTCCTTTCTGCCACCAATGCGAGCTTTTCTACTGGGTTAAAATGCCAAGGGACCATTCCTGCCCATATGGTGTCCAGCTAACTCATGGCTGCTCTCTCCTGTCTCCGCCTCCTTCCATACAGCGGCAGTGTGGCCAATGGCTCCCGGTGCTGATGGTGGTGATTGCTACAGCACTGGCTGTGTTCCTGGCAAACAAAGGCAGCCTGGTCATCTGAAGAACTTCTGGCATCTATCTGAAGTAAAATTCAGAAGCAACGAACTCCTTGGAGAACATGAGCTTTGGTACTTTTATAACTTAGGTTTTCCCTCCAAATGAATCCAGATTCCAGGTTTTACGTTTTTCACCACTGATGTGTTTACAAAAAGATAAAGGGGGGGGGGAATATGGTCTATGGAGAGGTGTAGTCAGGTATGGGGGAAGGTGGGCCCGCGATGAGGCATCCCTTCCCCCTGAGGGACCAGCCACACGATGGTATAGTATAGAACAGAGGTTATTTAGGATTTAGGGCATGGGGAAGGGAGTTAAGATTGGAGTAGAGGCAGAGAAAGGCAGGAGGGTGGAGGGAGGGTGCAGGGGGAGAGGGAGGGAGAGAAGTAGAGGCCAGTCATGAGCACGTGGGGGGGGGCAGGGAATGGGGAAAGAGTGGGAACAAGAAGGGAAGAGTAAGAGCGAGAGAGCAAGAGAGAGAGAGAGAGAGGAGGGGGCAAGCAGCCCCTTTTATAGTGGGCCAGACCTACCTGGCTGTCTCCAGGTAACTGTGGGGCAGAGTTTAGACAGAATACTAACAACCACGCTGTAAATAAACCTTATTTCACAAAACTCTTTAGAACTATGTATTCCTGAGAAATAAACCACAAGTGTGACCCTTGAACATCACTGTCTCATACCCTAATTCAGTTAGAGTTCCACAAACATGCAAATTACCCAGTCACTCTCCTTCCCTCCAAGTTACCGTCCACTAGGGGCATGGCCACCATCCAAGGGTACACTGCTTAAGTCTCCACAACACTCCTTTTCCTGTTCTTCTATCTCTTATTCAATGAAAAACAAACAGGCTCCTCTGCTAAGGACCTAGGAACTCCTAATACAACGGTGGAAATCATACTACTGGCGCCAACAACAGTCCCTGTTCACATATGTGGTCACTGATTGCACAACATTCTTCCCGGGACACTCAGAATGATCGTAATTGACATCTTCCACGCAGAGATAACCACTCACTGATACCTTCTCAACCGGCAGAGTTAACTCAGAGGGCCACAGCACGAAGTGTAATCACCTCAGAGGAGACACTGAGGTCAGCAAAGGCATTCTGAGTCCTAAAGCGGGTTCTGAGTTCCTTCTCCCAGGCACTTAGAAAGTCCCTCAGGTCTGGGAACAAACTCTCTGGAACACTAAAGGAGTACAGCAGAATTGGAGGTTGGCCAGGCAGCCATGAAATCTGGGCAGTAAACACCCGCAGGGGAGTCATGGCTAAGCAGTTGCCATCTCCATGGTTCAGGTCAAATGTGTAAGAGACAGGATAGCCCAGGAGTACCCCAAATACAGTGCAAAGATTCCAGTCTGAGGAATGCAGCTTGCTGTAGGAGACTCCCGGAGACACATCTTTCTGCAGTCCTTGAAAACGTGTGATGATGTCAGCTATGAGAGATTTCAAGGTCGGAAGCTGGTCCAACGACCGGACAGAAGGATGAGGCTGGGTGCAGGAAACATCCACGAAAGCTACGGTACCAAGCAGTGTCTGTTCCAAATGCCAACAGACATGCTCAGGACTCACGATGAGGTTATTCTCTTCAATCTCAAGAATATGAAGTCCTGGCTTCAGGACTCCCAGCCGCTGTAGTTCCTCCAGATAGCTTTGGAGCGCTAATCCTCCTGCAGAGCTGCAATCATAGAGTACAGCTGGCTTCAGCCCGCGGGCCACAGCCAGCACCTCTCCTGCCAGGTGAAGGCAGGTAGCTCGAGGTGGGCTTTTCCTCTTTCCCATGCCCAGAGTCTGCTGAGCAGCTGCCACCAGCAGCTGAGGGCTTGGTGGTGACATGAGATCTGGAAGTTACGTGGCCTCCTTAGCTTGCCACAGTTCCCTTCCCTGAGTCACACACAGTTTGGCTTCCAACACTTGAGAAAGATCCTAGAAACAATATGGTAGGGGGGAAATCGTTAATACTGTCAAGATGGGGGTCAATGCTACACCCCACTTCTCTAGCCGAACTAAGTCTCCGAAATCGTGGTTCTAGCCACATTTACATTGTCTCTGACTTCGATTCTAACTTTTACCTGGTGCAATTTATGCTCTGGGGATTCAAACCTTACAGCAACTGGAACCGTCTTTGGGAAAAGTTATCACTTCTCCCAAAACTGTCCTACTGGGACAGAGAGTGCTCTGGGCTCCAAACGTTACCGTCCGTAAGCTCTCCACTGCCAATTCCCCATCTCTCCACTAAAAGGCTGATCAAACCAGCATAAGCTACAATGCGGAGTAACCACCGCCTCACCCTGAGACACACAGGTAGGCGAAAACGGCTAGAACTGGGGCAGGAGCCATTTTAACACTTGCTGGGACCGGCTTCCCTTCTGGGGCGGCACGCTCCCACCGCCACACGTACCCACGCGTTGGATCATTTTAGACTAGTTACAAAAAGAAACCCTCTGCCTCAAAACACTGGGCTTGCATTTCTTCGCGGGTTCGGGGGCGCAGGAAGTCCTTCCGGCTGCCCTCCAGCGGCCAGGAAACCAGCACTCTCCCACGCCCCAAAAACAGCACTGTGAAAACCCCGCGGTGTGAGAAGCCCAGGGAAAACAAGGACAGCCTGGCGCGCAAGCGCACTGACTTACTCCGCCCTTCCGTGACGTCATTCAGAGTGCAAACGCACGCCGGAACCTTTGACAAGGCCGCGGACCGAGTGAAAGGTAAAGCCACCTCAGACCCGCCCCTTCCGGTAGAGCTGCTGCCGGCCGGCCTTGCGAGGCGGAAGTGGAGAGAAGCATCCGGGCCGTCCTGCTGTCAGTCCCCGGTGTAGCTGGGATCCGCACCTCTTGTGTGGGCAATGCTGTATGCTTTTTTTTTTTTTTAATGTACCTAAATTCTGAACTCGATAGGGATGCCAAGACCATGCATATTCACTCCCTTTTTAAAAAACGCCTTATTGTGTGGACACGCACAATGGCGCCTTGTCAGCGCTCGCTTCCACTTTAGAAGTGGGTCCGAGGGACTGAACTCAGGAAAACAGCCTGCTGAGCAAGTGCCATTAACTGCCGAGCCAGTGCTACTGTACTGTACTGTTTTACTTCGAGATGGCATTTTAGGTAGCAGGGCCTGGCCCGGAACGAGACTTCAAGCTCTCTGCCTTATGCCACGTTGGGAATTGAACTCTGGACTTCACCCTCTGTCTGCAGCCTGAGTATTCACTCTCAGTGTGCCGAGGCCCTAGGGCTGCTCCATTGTACCTTCTTCATGGAGCTCAAAGCCCGAGTGTCCAGTTTGCTGATCATATTATTTTAAAAGATTTATGTTCATGTGTAAATTCGTATGTGCGGGTGCCCAGGAAGCCAGAAAAGTAGGATCACCTGGAGCTGAGTAAGTTAAAGATACTGTGAGCTGTCTAACATGGGCTTTGGGAACCGAATTCAAATCTTAAGAAGCAAAAGCGGGTCTCATCTCTATAGCCACACTGTTGTAGTGGAGGTTTTGTTTGGGTTTTTGAGACAATGTCTTGCTATGTATCCCTCAAATATAACAATCCTCCTGCCTCAGCCTCCAAAGTTCTGTGGTTAGAGTCTGTGCCACTGCGAGACCACATTAGGGGACGGAAATGAGCAGTGAAGATCCAGAGGCCCAGTGGATCAGGTGGCGCCAAACTGCCACCATCTTCAAGAGTTCAACTGTGTGGTCTTGTGAAAGATCATTCCAACTAGGCTTAACTGTTGACATTCCCTTATAGAAAGAGGATCTTGGGACCTCATCAGAGTCTGCAGCCAATCCTCTCAGCCAATTGTATGCAGTCCCACCCTAACTGAATGATACCTCAAGGAAGTGTCTAGGCTGGGAAAAACTAGAGAGGCGAACACCATCTAGGAAGCCAGGGGAGAGTTAACATCCTTAACTGGCAGTTTGAAGGCCACCCATGCTCCTTGCCAGTGGGACCTTAAGAAGTGCCTTGCTCCTTTCCCCAGAGAAGAGTCTTGCAACAGACAGAAAGGACAAATTAGCCTATATCTTCTGTAAAGGGAATCTTAAGATAATGTGATCTTGGGCAAATGGCCCCAGTTATGGGCATCAGAATGGAGACCCAGACTGGAAGGTTTACGTTGGTGCCACTTTGAAAGTATCTTCATACCAAAAAGGACCAACAGTGAGTTAAAGACAGTATGTAAGGAAGATCAGTTTGTATGGCCTACCAATCTAACATAGATTCTTAGCCAGAGGGAGTCCATACTAAAAAATGATACAACCAGTACTCTAGCCTTATATTTGTTTCTTCCCAAATTTATTTTTACATTCCCGTGGCAGTTACCAATAAATCTCCAAATTGAAAGACGTAGTTCATTTATTATAGCACAAATATCTTAGAACACACTGTATCAGACACTGCTAAAGACCTGGCAATAAATCTAAGACAGACTGTTTCCACTTTCCAAGCTGGCAGTCAGTCAAGCAGGACATAGATGCAGAGCAATTTAAAAATGACACAGTTACTCTGAAAGTTTAAGATGCTACAGGAACATGCAACCAAGAACTTAATTGTGGAGGGGAGAGGAGATTCAACATCTGCCTTCCCGGTTTAACTGTAGTGGTTCTTTTAACATTGGAGTTAATCTGGAGTGCATAGTAAGAAAAAGGAGGAACTGAGGGAAACTCTCCTCCCTTTTGAGTCTTCAGATGAAGGCAGGGAAGAAGACAGCTGGGGAGTGAACGGGAGCACCGGGAAACTTAGTATTCCTAAAAGGAGGGGACCTGGTATCTACCAACACCAGAGAAAGCTTACTGACGATGACAAGAGAAGACCCCCACATGCAGTGTGTGCTCCCAGCATTCCCAAAAAAAACTGCAAGACAGGAAAGAAACTGGACTGTCTAGTTAGGACCACACAAAATCGTTCATTGTCCCAACAGGCTTGTCAACTTTTCATTATAGTCACACACTAAAAACTCAATCCGTAGCCTTAGAACATATTTTTGCACTGTTTGTTGCCAGATCCTGTTGTCTGGTCGGTCCTCATAGCCTGCTGACATTTCACAGAAGGGGAAGGAAATGTCCCTACCCCGTCTCTATAATGGGTTATTTCTAACTTTGAGCTCCCAGATGGAGCAGACATACATCAGACTCCCTCACTTCGTCCCTCCAAGTGATACTACTCACTCCTCCAAAGAAGAATAAAGTCCCTAGGCCTTGCATGAGTCCTAGTCAATCAAAGTTCAGCTTTTAAACTTTTACCCAAACTTCTCTTTAAAAATTTTAATTAGCATACAAAGAGTTTTACTCTGATATGTCCCTACTTTGACTATATGTATACAATTATACTGTGCTCTTATTCACACAGATACCTGCCTTTCTTAACTCACCCAGATTTCTCTTTGTCCTCCTTTTAATAATCTCTAAGAGACATTTAAACCAAAGCTTACACATCCTAAGTCTCACTGCTACCCAAGATTAAGTTGAGCTTTTAGACTTTAAATGCATCCCAACTTTTGAGTGGCTAGAAAAGCAGAAGGTGCTACCCTTAGCGTAAAGGCAGCAGACAGTACAGAGAGGCCTGTTCCCTATGACATGAAACAAACAGACATCGGTATTCAAGAGGATTGAGGCTATAACCAGAGAGACGCATCTTGCTTTTCATCTAAATCTTGGAATTCAAATATGAGAAGGGACAGGGCAGACACTCCGTGAGACATAGCTGCACTGTTCTTCATTGTCCTCATTGCTCATAGCAAGTGATACAAGCAGGTCTGAGCCTTTCCCACAAGAGCACCGTCCAGACCTTTAACATATGCAGCGCCTCATTTTTCACAAATGGAAAAATCCAAATGTCAGACTCTTGGAAGTCTCTGAACAAGTACCATCCATTTTGTCGTCGGAGTATATCCTAGATGCCCAACTCCCTCCAGATTGTCTTTGAGAAGAAAATGAGGAAGAGGAGAGTGTCTGCCCTGAGTCACGTGGAGTCAAAGTTTCTCATCAACTTCATACATAAGGTGGTGTGAGTAGTGATGAGGTACACGGCTGATGACAGTCTCCCATGGAGTCCCTCCGTGGCCAACCATTCTCTCTCATGGAATTCCTCCACTGACGACCATTCTTTCTCTCATGGAATCCCTCGGCTTTCTGTGTCAGCAGCTTTCCCTTTGACACTCACTTTATGAGCTTTTACTCCACACACAGGTTGGGTGACTTTCAGACCTTGGCACCATCTCTATTTAGCTATCAAAACTGGTTGCTAGGCAACCAATCAGCTCCTCTCTTACTTCCCCCAGCAGGGAACCAGCTGACTGTACTAGCAGAACAGGTCAAACAGAGCTCAATTCAGATCAGATTAAGGAACTTGGATGAAAGCAAGAAGGGGAAAACATGTGGACTAAGAACAATGCAGAAGGGTCCTGTTCCAAGCAGTTTGGTCTTATACAAGTTGAGGAAAATAATCAAGTCAGAGTTTTAAGGCCAAATGCAATTTTTGGCATCATTCCAAAACTTTTTTATTTATGAGTGATGCATCTGATGCCCTCCAGTTAAACGATCTGTCTAAAGTCAAATGGACAACAGCTGCAGCTAGAGTCCTGGTGTCTAAACTTCCAAAACAAGTCTCTCCTACACCAACCATGGAAGATCTAAAAGGAACCCCTCAGAGGACGACAGCTTGATAAGCTAGAGGAACTTTTAAAAGTAAGCATGTTTGGAAAGTCTCAGACTTCTAATGAGGTTATAGAAAGGAGATTTAAAAGTTGACTGAATCTGAATTTAAAAAAACCCTTATGTACAATATAAAAATGAGAGGAGAGGAGAGAAGAGGGCACGCATGGGAGGCAGTCTGGGTCACTGGGCAGGCAGAGGGGGCGGCAGCTGCATGCTGGGGGCAGGCTGCAGCTGCATGCTGGGGGCAGGCTGCATGGGCTGCCAGCTCTCCTGGGTTTGAAGGATGCGGTACAGCTGCTTGAGCTGGGCGACGATGTTATCTTTGATGTCTGGAGTGGAGATCTGCAGTCGAACACTGCCACTGTCAAAGGACCGGGTGAAGTCCCCAGAAAACATCTCATAGATCATGCGAGCCACCACTGGAATGACCTGTTCAGGCAAGAGCACACGAGTTTCCACTGAAGAACGGGCACTTTTAAGTAGCAGGAGAGGCCCCGACATTGAAGAAGAACCTCTGAGGCCCCGAGAACCACTCAGCCTCCCTACCCACATCTAGATACTAGTGAATGGCTGTATCTTCACTAGTCAAGGTTCACCTTAGAAGTTGGTTAATTCAAGGAAAGGAACCTGGATGCAGCATCATTCCACATGCCTAACTAGATGACGGCTTACTTAGCAAAACTGTGAATCAAGAGGCACCCACTGCCTGTCTTAGTGTATAATTCCATGCACAACCCCAAGTAGACTTGTAACCATTCCCAGAACACAGTTACATCTTATGATGGCCAAAATGTTTTATAAGAAGAGATGAAAAATGTTACGTCTCATAAGGTTAGCAAGACCCTGACATCAGCAGGAGAATGAAAGGTGAAGAGTCCATTAAACTGTTCACCCATGTTGAGAATGTGGTATTTACAACCTAGTCCTACTGCACAAAACTCAAGTCTGCCACCTCACTGAGGGCATTAAAATATACATTGGTCAGTAGATGCTCAAGCAGGACTCATCCCAGACCAGGGGGTAAAGCTCCAGCAGAAAGAAGAGTTGCTGTCATGGTCTTTTCTCTCCTCACCTGGACCAAGATGAGCTTCCTCTCCAGGGGCTTCCCGTCTGGCCACTCTTCCCCGAAGCATAAGTAGATCTCAAAAGGCGGCTGCTTCTCTATCTGTCCTTTCTGGTGGGCAATGAGCTCTGCGGAAGAGGGAAAAGCACTCCTGGATTATTCTCTGTCTGTGCCAATCAGCATTGCCTTCCAGGCAGCCCAATACAATACCCACAATTCATGCGTGGCTATTAATTTTAAATTAATTAAAATTAAATTACTCCTTGGTCATACCAGTCACATTTACATGCTTACCAGACACACGTGACCGGTGTTTACCAAACTGAACTTCACAAAATACAACCTGCCTATTATTTCAGAGGGTTCTCCTGGAAACTGGGGATATAGACCTGGGATTCAAAACACATTATAAATTTATATCTCAATACTTTTTCTAAACTTGCCTCCTTAAATTAACTACTCAAATATTTCCTGAAGGAAGAAGAGTGTGAGTTTTGCTATGCTGAACAAGGTCACCTTCCAAAGTGAAAGAAAATCTAACATTTGGGGAGAGAAGTACTGGCAAGACTGTCTTCTCTGCCCCCAAAGGAGCCATAACCAACCTCAAAACCCCTTTCATGCAGATAGTCCTAGAGCTCAAATCTCTTTGTGGCTGCCCGAGTCCTGGTCCTAGCTTAAAACCAAGGTTCTCTTCTCCCTTGACCTTTCTGTATGCCAGGAAAGATTAGGTGGGGAGGGAGAAGAAGAAGGAGGAAGAGGAAAGGGAAGAAAAGGAGGAAGAACAGGAACAAGAGGAGGAGAAAAGAGAAAAACCTTTAGGGTACATCTCACAATACCAATCTTCTAAAAACAGACTTACCACTCAGGAACGTTTCCAGACAAAACAACTTGACCTTCTTCTGCCTCTCAATCAGGTTAGGTGCAGCAAGTGAGGGGGCACATGGCCCTGACCAGTACACTTTGCACTGGCACAGCCGGATGGCATAAATGGCATGTCCGCTGACCTCCAGGATCAGTCCCCTGTCCATGACATCCAACAGCTTACTAGTGAAGAGTTTCTGCTTCTCGTTGGTGATATGCTCTGGACCCGGGAACTTGACCTGCTCCAGGCTGACAGGACCAAAGAGCTCCTCCTGGTCAGGCATGGGGCCCAGGTCCCCATAGAAGAGCCGGCAGCCCTGGGGGTTGCTCACCGTCATGGTTTGCCCGTACTCCTTCCCACGATACTGAAACTTGATGTCCAAGTCAGTCACTACAAGGCGAGAGATGACAGTGAGTCCTGCTGTTCTGCTTTGTCTGTCTGTCCCTAAGACTCACATGAGTCCACCAAGATCAAGCCATCATCTTTCAACCAGCTTTCAGGAAGGCCATTGCCATAGTTATCCCTCCTGCAATAAAGGGAGGTGTCAACATACCCCAGGATGGTCACACAGAAGGACGCCTTGCAGCAGAGCTTAAGGCCCAGATGTACTATCTTCTCAGTTGCCACACCCTTGGGGCTAGAAACTATCTCCACATACTGATGGTCCTGATATCCCAGGTCACAAAAAAAGTAAAGATACATTGACAACATCTGAGGGGGACTGCAAGACTGTCCCTCCAATATGAGTAACCGCTTGCCACATGTATGCACCGAAAACATGTGTAACGAATGTGACTAAGGATCTATTTTATATCTATTAATTTAAATTAATAGTCACATGTGGCTAATGTCTACTCTACTGTGCATCATGGAAGGTGTTTATTGAAAGAAGAGAGAAAGGCCACATCCTCAGAGAATAAGCAACAGTGTCTGATTTGTACCTCACTTTTTTTTTTTCTTTCTGAGACAGGTTCTCACGTAACCCAAACTAAACTTGAACTCCCTATGTAGCAAAGAATGGCCTCGAACTCCTGATCCTTCCACCCCCAGTTCCTGAACGCAGGATTTAGAGGTGTATGAAACCCTACCCAGTTTTATTTAGTGCTAGGAATCAAGACCAGGGCTTCCTGTATCCTAGGCAAGCACTCTACCAACTGAGCTACACCCTTAGCCCTGTGTCTCACTTTTTAAAGTAACTGGAGAAACAAGAAAAAATACCAAGCCATCCTTCTGAAGTCATACATGCTAGTACACACCCTGAACCTGTTCTACACATGCTCTAAAAAGAGGCTCACTGAGAAGTACATTTTTAGTCAGCAAGTCTTCCCTGACCCCCAAAGGCCTTATCAGAGCTACTCAGCTTCTTGGACAAGATTTTAGGTTCGTGCCCCATCATGTAGAATGTGAAAAGATGACAGGGGAAAAGAGTTAATTCTTCATCAAGATAAACGTGTACCTAACTTAGTCCCTAAAGTCTCTTAAAATCAAAGGCCTTGGGTGACCAAATCCATGCCGGGGCCTAGCACTTCCCTGTCTTAGAGCAGACCTTGTCACCAAATCCTCAAGAACAACAATAATTAACTTGTACCTCTTACCAATCAGAAGAGCTGAACAGACAAGAGGGGATGGACAAACAAACTTCCCTGGTAGCTCATCTCGCAGCTCATAAGCAGACACAGAGAGCACATGGGCAGGGCAGGTAGCTAGTCTAAACATCTCAAAAATAATAAGGCAGACAAGGTCTGGGGGTGTTTGCCTCACATGCAAGAGGCTCTGGTTTAATTCCCTGCACTTCTGGAGAAGAACAGAGAAGGAGGTAGGAGACAAAGGAGGAAAGACCATGTAATAAGAGATGAAGCCCCAGCAAAACAAAGCAGGCTCGCTTACTGGGGAGAGAGCTGATCCACAGCTCTGGAGAACTATAGAAGGGCTGAATGGGGGCCTGGGGTACTTCCATCTCCAGAGGTTCTGTTTTGGGCCACACTGATTCAGGGCTACAGTTTCCCACACTGCAGTTGCCCACGCTGGCTGGTGCCATCGGAGAACCTAGAACAGAAGAAAGGGAGTGAGCACACAGGGCACACTATTGTCTGGCCTGAGGCTCAGAGAACAAGCAAGGTAGGTCCACGGGAGTCACCGAACCCTAACCTGCTATGATCTCCCAGCCTAGCACACATGACTCGTGACTCAGCGGCTACACAGCTCCTGATTACCAGTCGTTTTATTTCTCCCATAAGCTCATTGCTTTAAAAGCCTCTATTTGCTAAAGATCCGAAGGAGACAAGGGAACTTTCTCTGTAAGCTGATTCAGAACAGTATGACTGAAAGGTGCTCCGCCAGGGCCAGAGAGATGGCTCCGTGGTTAAGAGCACTGACTGCTCTTCCAGAGGTCCTGAGTTCAGTTCCCAGCAACCACATGGTGGCTCACAACCATCTGTAATGGGATCTGATGCCCTCTTCTGGTGTGTCTGAAGACAGGAACAGTGTACTCATATAAATAAAACAAATAAGTAAAATCTTTTCAAAACAAACAAAAAGAAAGATGCTCTGCTGCTTAATCTGTACACGGTATCTTGATGCCTTTATAAAGGGAGCACTGAAATGTGCACATGGTGACTCCATGTCTTCATGAGGGGAGCACTGCACAGTGTATACACAGTGACTGTACACACTGACTAATGTCTTCATAAGGGAAGTACCACTGATTCAGCCAACTGGCTTCAAGTGAGTGTCAATGTACCGATGTTCTAGTAGAACAAATGTATTTTAAAATCATAAAGTCTGAAAGGGGGGTTGGATAGATAGCTCAGTGGGTAAAGAACTTGCTGCCAAGCCCAACAACCTGAGTTTAGTCTCCAGATCTACACAATAGAAGAAAAGTGACTCCTATAAGTTGTCCTCTGACCTCCACATGTGTGTGCGTGTTTGTGTGTGAGTGCGCACACGTGTGCGCGCATGCACGCCCCCATACACAATAAATAAAAGTGCAATAAAATATTAACCTGTCTGAAAGAGGGGCTGGAAAACCAACTCAGCGGTTAGAGCACTGGCTGCTCTTCCAGAGCCCGTGTTCAATTCCCAGCACCACATAGCAGCTCACAACTGTCTGTAAGTCAAGTCCCAGGAGATGCCACACCCTCTTCTGGCCTCCACCAGCACCAGGTACACACGTGGTACACAGCATGCAGTCAAAACACTGACATACATAAAACTTAAAATAAAAATTTAAAAAATTAAAAGAATGCCCAGAAACCTAGCTAAATGTGTCTATATTGGTAAATGAAGCAGAACATTCTGTGACAGGATGCAAGGAAAGTCTTTCAACTGGGGCTGGTGAGACAGCTCAGCAGTTAAGAGCACTGACTGCTCTTCCGGAGGTCATAGTTCAAATCCCAGTTCACAACCATCTGTAATGAGATCTGATGCACTCTTATGGGGTGTCTGAAGACGGCTACAATGTACTTATATATAATTATTAAATAAAAAGGCTGGAGGGGCCCAAGCAAGAGGGAGAAGGGAAGGCGAAAAAATTTTAAAAAGTCTTTCAACTGATTATCTTTTTTTTTTCCGTTAAAAATTTTAAACCACGTTTATTCATTCAACCAGATCTAATTACAGCTTTTCAAGTGAGAATGAAAACCCTTGTCCTTGGCAGGCTTGATGGCACATGCCTATAATCCCAACACCTGGGAGGTTACGACAGAAGGAGCGCTTGTTCCAAATCAATCTAAACCACATATTCAAAACAAAAGAGAAAGGATATCCCAACTCTACTTCCTGCTGCCATTGGTGCTGGCTTGTCCAAGGCCCCGCCTAGGCCTCATCTCTTAGGCTTCTGTGCCTCCGTAACCTGCCTTCCTCTGCTGCCCACCTCCCCAGCACTGAAATCACAGAAGCTGGTGTTCTTTGACCGTTTTAGTTCAATATGAAACCATCTTACACTTCTGTTGGCAATGTATATTCTACAACTCTCTAATATTAGAGACTCGAGGTGGCCTTGAACATGAAGAAACACAGCAGTAGTTTCAAATACTAGGACACTGGAAATAAGTTACAGCTTTTCAAGGAATGAAACAGAATGAGGGAGCAAAGAATCTAAGGAAGGGCCCATGTTTCCAACTCTTTGTTTAGTTTTGTTCTCCCTTTTTTTTCTTTCCTTTCCTTTCCTTTCCTTTCCTTTCCTTTCCTTTCCTTTCCTTTCCTTTCCTTTCCTTTCCTTTCCTTTCCTTTCTTTTCTTTTCTTTTGAGATAGGCTCTCACTAAACCAGGCTGGCTTCAAGTTTGTAGTGATCTTCTGTCCTTGCCATCCAAATGCATTGGTTATCACACTTACTAAGAGAGCAGCGTGTAGTAATACTGTCTAGATTAGAAAATCTCTACAAAAAGGTGCCTTTTTTTTCTTTTTAGATATTTATTTTCATTACTTTTTAATTGTATGTATGTGTGTGGGCCCAAAGATGCAGGGGACAGCAAATGCCCTGGACCCAGATGATTGTGAGCCACTAAAATAGATTCTGCCAATCTCTCCAGCTTCCATGAAAGTTTTCTTTATCCATCACTTGTCTTCAAGGGTCCAAAGGCACCTAAGGCACTCACCTTCAACCCCAGCACTGGGAGGCAGAGGCAGGTGGATCTCTGAGTTCCACACCAGCCTCATCTACATGACAAGTTTAGGCCAGGCAGGGAGCTATATAGTACCCTGACTCAACAAAACAAAACAAAACCGACAAGAAGAAGGAGAGAAGGAGGCAGGAAGTGAAGAAGGGCTGTGAGCAAACACTGTCATCTGTCACTCTAGGTGAAGCACTAGAAACAGCAATGCCCAAACCCTAAGGCAGCATCATGGTCTACTGAGTTCTCTAGGTGGCAAACATCACCTAATCTGACCCACAGCACGCAGACAGTGTGAGGTGTGCTGGTGATCAGTCATTCTACTGGCATCTCCACAGGCAGATGTGGTAAGAATACTTCAGGAGGGCAATCCAGAGCACAGTGGGGATGTTTGGGTGAGCATCTACAGACAGACGCAGACCCTGATGCCACCCAGCAGGTCCTAACCTCTCCAACTCCTCTCTGCTGGAGAGCTGACTTCACAAGTCCATATAAGAGAGTGTGGCTACAAAGCCATCACGAGGCTGCTGGGCAGGACTCTGGAAGGCCTGCTTTTCTTTTTTATCTTTTTATGTCTTTTTTTTAAAAAAACTGACCTAAGCCTGAGGATACCCTCCCTAATACACTGGGCTATCTTACTCCTTCTATGAAGTCCCTCATACTCTGCCACATGGCTGACCACCATGCTTGCCCTCGCTAAAAACAACAGTTCAACTCAAACAACATGGCTTTCTCTCAGCCTCTTCTCCATCTTCTTCCTCCTGGCAGTTGTCAAGATTTACAGCTTTCGTGTCTGGGGAGTTTTCTTTTAGATGTTAATAAAATTGTCAAAAAGCCTTCAAAATCAAAATGATAAAAGATTCTTATAGATAAACCCACCGGGCCGAGTACCATCAGCTAGAATCAAGTTTTTCATGCCACAGTTTCAGCAGAGCGAATTCTTTTAAGGACATAACTCAGAATTCATACCTGGAAAACTACTGGGAGTGTAACTACGATTCATAAATGGGATAGCACTTCTCTGAAGTAAAGTCCCAACTTTATCATTCACTGGGAATGAATTATGCTTTTTCTATCTCCCTGAATGGGATGTTCTCTAGAACCCTAGAGCACACCCCCTTGCTTTGCAATAACTGAGGTATCAGGTCTTCTGCCTGTGACTCTGGCTTACTAACACACCAGCCGACTGGCTGGGGAGCCCCTCCCCCCACCCCCTCAGAGCCATGGTGGCTGATGGGTCAGTAGTTCCAAAGCCAAAGTCAGTCACATCCGCCTCACCCCTGGGGGCCGCCAGCCCGCCCACTCACCATTGATGTTCAGGAAGGGGAAGGTGTCCTGGATGGGCACGTGGTGCTGAGACTGATCCAGCTCATCCTCATCATCATCCTCATCCACGTCGTTATCTTTCTCATCCCAGGGAGCAGAGCCCGTCGATCCTACCCAGGACACATGCGCCCACAGAAGGGCAGTTGGCTTCACTGACATCTTAACTGCCGACCCACCAACCAAGCTAGAGACGCCTCAGTGTGCACCCACAAGCTTTAGCTAGTCCTAAACCCTTCTACAGAGTCTGAACTCAAGGTCTCTTATCTTGCCTTAGAAATCCCTACGTGTTACTATAGCTACCCAGCTTTCTACACGTGAGCAGCCCTGTTAAGGGCTCCTCGATACCCACTTTTCACCTTCGAAAGCCGCATGTGAGGGAGGCACCAACCCTCCATTATGTCAGGGTCTGACTGGATGATAAGTTGAATGTCTGCCTCTTTGTATTCATTATCCACTGAGGAATGGGTGGCATGAAATACTCCACAAACTAAGCTATCTTGACCCTACGTTTATAGAGAACACAATAGCTTGCACGGGTCGTGTCCACTGGTTCTACAAGTAACCTTGTGAAAGGCAGACTAATGAGAGTTCACATCTTGAAATTGAAGAAACAGAGGCTCAGTGTGCCCGGTGACTCAACTGGAGTCCAACAGTAGTGGAGCCATCTGAGAGCCAGGCTTGGAACACAAACCCTTCAGCTGTTACTCCTCCATCCCAAGAGAGGCTGTCCTACAGATCTGTACCCTCATCTGCCTTCTGCTTGAAGCATTCGTTTTTGTAACTCCTTATACTATCTGCTCTCTAAGCTCTTCCTAGGCAAAGGCCTTGATGTCAACCTGTCTCCCTAAGAGACCAACCGTGGGTCTGTCCAAGCCTCGGGCCTCACCTGGGTTAATGACAGAGCCCTGGGGCTGGGGGATGTCACACACTTGATAGATCTTCACAGGATTCATGGGCACCTCCTTGGTGCCATCGTACATCAGGTTGAACTCCCTGCTTTTGTTGAGAGCACAGCGGAGCTGGGCCTTCCATTTGGCTGGGTCAGGATCATCCACCCCTTCCTGGTACTTTCCGGTCTCCACAGCCCAAGCCTGAGGAATGAGACAGTGTGAGTGCTGACCACTGTGGAGAACTACCACCAAGCACACACACACACCCTCACATGCGCACACATGCACACACACGTGCACACACACGTCTGAGTGTTCCACCATTCCAACGTCAATTTAGAGACTGCAGTGGGTAATACTGACCTCAGGGCCAACAAAGGCAGGTCAAAGAGAAACCAAGCTGTATGCAAACAAATTTCTGAATGGAGTCTTAGTTCAGGCTTTAGCACCTTTAGCACCAGGCCCTGTCTAGACAATGCTGAACCCGAAGTCTGGGGCGACACTGTATGGCAGACTTTACTCAACCTTTTTCTCCTCTTCCCCATTCTCTTCCACCCTTGTTCTTCCTCCTTTTCTTCCTCTTCCCTCCTCCATCTGTCTTTTGAGGTTTTGCTTAAGATTTGATTTTTAATTCCATCTATTTAGGGGTTAGGTATGCTAACATGCATGTGCATGCCCTCTGATGCCAGACCAGATCACTGGATCCCCCAGAGCTGGAGTTCCAGGTGGTTGGGAGCTGCGTACCGGAAGTGCTAGGAACTGAACTCCAGGATGCTGAGGCGCGGTACGCTTTCCTAACCACTGAGCCATCCCTCCTGCTCCTGTCTCATTACGCACCACACACACACACACACACCACACACACACACACACACACACACACACACACACACACTGAACTCAGCGCCAAATCCTCCTCTAGCCTCCCCAGTGATGAAAGTGAAGTGTGTTCCACCCTGCCAGGCTTTCTTTTAAAACAAAAATAACTCACACAAGTATGACGAAAGGAAGTGAGACAATATAAAGACTTTCAGGAGCCAGGTGTAGCACTGTCTACCTGTAATTCCATCACTGAAGAGGCTGAAACAGGAGGGCAGTGAGTTTGAAATTAACCTGGGCTACATAGTAAGAGAGTCCAGGGCCAACCTGGACTACGTCGTGAGGCCTCGGTTCAATAAAAACAAAACAAAAATCGTTCAGGAAGCATGATCTGACTTACAGCTTGTCCCAACCCCTGAGGGCGGCAAGCTTTAACAAATTCACACGCATCTCTTCCCAGTTCTTCAAAACTCCCCCTTCATTGGAAACAGCGCCTGGAGGCAAGGCCTGGGGCGTGGCCTAAAAACCACCGTGAAGCTTCCTCTGTTTTCCTAAGTAGTAAGTCAAAGTACCACTGCAGATGCGCGGAACAAGATCCTCTGCCCAGGGAGAAGAGAAGAACCAGAGACCCAGCCCCTCAGGAGCATCCCTTGGGGGAGGAGCAGACCAAGCTCTGCTTCCAGGAGCCCCTCACCGGCTACCCACTCTCCCCGCCAGCCACATGCCCTCTGGTCACTAAACTTTCTTCAGTTCTCTAAGGCAGATGGAGGAGACCTCATGAGAGATCTGTTCCTCAAACAAGAACACACTAACTTGTTTAAATGTTTAACTTCACCATGTTTTATTTAGTTCGTGTATAGAAATGGGAATCGGTTCTCTCCTTCTATGAGACCTGGGACACCTGCTGGGCCATCTCAACAGCCCCACTCAAACCTTTCCAAGCTGTCAGGGCAGATTACTCCTCCAAACTTTTGCCACATAGAACTTTTTTTCTTTTTGATTTTTTTCTGAGACAGGCTCTCACTAACGTACCTCAGGCTGGCCTCAAAAATTCACAGCAATTCTCCTGCCTTAGCTTTCAGAGTACTAAAACTTCAGGCATACACACCATGCCCAGGCACAGGCTTTCTCCTTAAGCTGAAATGGAACTTCTGCACCCACTTTTGAGATCTCTGGTCCCCCTCAATTCTACCCTGCAGAGCAGCAGAGTCCAGTGTTAACTAAGCCTTCTTCTTCCAGCTCACACTCATTCCTCCGGCCACCTTCTCTGCTTTGTTTTCTTCTGTGTGTTCTGCAGTCTAGGATGAAGCATGCCAACCAAGTTGAGCTGTCCTGTGTGACTTAGCAGCACCAGGGTGGCTAAGGCTGGCTCCATCCACAGGAAGGCTCAATTTCACTGCTCCTAGTACCTGAGATACAAAACTGCCATTACCTGGTGTACCTGCCCGCTGCCTCCTCTATCTCCCCATGGTTTGTCTGACCTTCTGTATTCACACTGGCTCTGACTCTATGCAGCTGTCTCCAGAGGCAGATTCTGGAAGAAGTCTGTAGTCTGTGATTCCCTTAAATCGTGCTCCTTCAACAGCACAACTGGACTGACTGAGCCCCAGGCTCGCACCAGCTTCCCGCTCACATCCAGTCATCTCCTCAGTCAGTTCATCTGATACAGAAGAGAGCTATACTCTTTGCAAGCACAGCTTCAGCACCAGGGAGATTGATGCACCCTGTGGGCCAGCGCTGTGACGTATAAACTGTACTTGTTCAAACTCCTCCCTGAGCATGGTTACCGTAAAGTCCCTATTTCTCTTCCTAAAATGTCTCTTACTTCTACATTTTTATGGTACTTTACAAATGTCTCCCCACACTTTGATTTCCATGACAATTTTAAAAAGCAGACAGACTGGCTTCACCCCAATTTACCAAAGGAAAAACTGAAGAGGTTGCATGCTTTCCTTAAGACCAACCCCAGGGCTGGTCATTATAGAAGTTGAGGTTGACCAGTTCAGCTCCTACTCAGGATCATAAAGGGGCCAAGGGAACAAGATCGGAGACCCAGATTCAAATCCTGGAGCTACCGTTGATTGACAGGGGAAGTTACTCAACCCCACTGACGGCTTCTAAATGTATAACACAGGGTGGGAGAAAGACTCTCCCTGCATGGTCCTCATGAGAGTCAAGTGACATTGGGAACAAGGAGTCCATGCTGGTACCTCCCTCCTCTCTGTATCTCACCAAAAGTTCACCAGAGTATAGGACCTGTGACAGTGTCCTGTCTCCTACCACTCAAATGCTCCTCAGCAATCTATAAACGGACAGGCCCATGCAAAGCTTTCCTCACATACTCCTGAGAGGGGCCTACAGGACCAGCCTCTTCCTGTGACCAATCAGATACTACAACAGCAAACTCAGACCCAGAGCAAGGCTGCAAGAGACACAACCGGGCTTAACAAGCTTGTCCCTTCCTCGACGTCAGCTCCACCAGTGATAGGCACTGGTCTGCAGATATTTCCCTAAACATTTCCATAACGTTCATCCATGATATTAATACATTATTAATATTCCTAGATTTAGTGTTTCATTTACATACTTTCAAAGTCCTCTCAGGCCAGATTTTTCTCTGCCTCTCCTCTCTACACCAGAAATAGGTGGGAAATAGCCTGGTCAGCATGGCTTTCCTCAGAGCCCTGGACTCGACTTCCCTGCCTCTTCCTGGTCCTCCAGTCAGTCAGGACTGGATCGCAGCTCAGCCTTCCAGCTTATAGACTAAGTAAGAAAGCACAAGCATCTTGGGCTGCGGGAACTAACTACTCTTGAGATGGAAGGGAGAAGTTGGTCTAAAGTAGAGAGGCAGATCCTGAAATTGCAACCATCATGAAACCCTTCCATAACCACTGCCTACTTCTGTCTAAAGTCAAACTTTGGTTTCACTTAAATTTAGTAAAGTGCTGTGTGACTAAATCTTGTCTCAAGCAGACGACAATGAGGATCACAGAAGAATTACTTGTTATTTGTGAAAACATAATTAGGGCTTGGGGTGTAGCTTGGTGGTAATGTGTATGCTTGGCAGGCACAAAACCTTGGGCTTGACTGATCCTTAGGGATGAGAAAGGAAAGGTGGGGGAAAAAATCAGAGGAGGAGTAGGGAAGATAAAGGGGGAAGGGGAAGGAAGGGAAAAGGCAAAGGATAGACATTTAAAGAATAACACTGCAAGGCTGGAGAGTTGACTCAGTAGTTAAAAGTGTTCACGGCTCCTGAAGAAAAGCTGAGTAACTTGGTTCCCAGCATACTTGTCAGGTGTGGCAGGCAGCTCACAGTCAACTGTAACTCCAGCTCCCAGGAATACAATCTTGTGACTACCAAGGGCACCTGCACTCACGTGTACACACACACAGAGACACACCCTCACCCCAGATCCACTCGGATATAAACTGAGTCTCTTACAACCAATGGTGGTGTAAAGACCTCAGCCTCACAGACACAGCTAGAGAAGAGGAATCACAATTTGGGCACCTCGTCATCTAGATCCCACTATACCAGAATGACAGACTAGAGAAGCAAGCAAACCCAGAATGGCCTCAGAGAACTGGAACAAAATCATGCCATCTCAGATGGCAGAAGGAAGTTCTTTACCTTAAAAATGGTGTTTTCCTCCTCTTGCTGGGGGCTGTGCCGTGTGGCATGTTTCCAGGGAATCTGGAAGCGTTTGGAATCTCTGTGTAGCCAGATGAGACCAGGGTAGAGGCCACTGTCCACCTGGGCCACCAGCCAGGGCTTCAGCCGGACTCTTCGAGGGTGGAGGGCCATGATCTAGGAGTAGGGAGAATGGAAGAGTAAAGCTAGTCACTGAGAACTTTCCCAGCCACTGCTCCCGTGTGCTGCGGCTACAGTTTCACTAGATTACAGCAAAGAAATTAAATATGGCAGTAAACTGTGCCAGAGAGAGGAGAAGGAAAGAGGTAAAAGGAATCTTTTGATTCTTATTGTGAAGCCATTTATACTTCATGCTCTTGCCAAATCAGACTTATCATGCAAGCAGATCACATTTCTTCTATTTAAATCCTTAAGCAGAGAAATGAAAGGTGATGTCATCATCACTGGAGCAGAGCTTCCTCAGGGGCTCCGCAAGGTTAAGGCAACTGCTCTTTTCAGTCTTGCCTCAGGAGAGGGAAGGAAAGTTTTGGAAACTTTGGGCCAGAAGCTAAACAAACTGTCTTTCCAAGAAGACAATGGAGAATGGTGACTTGAGAGAAGCAGGTGAGGGGCGGGCCCTGGTTCCAAAGTCCTCACTTGGGTGAGCAGGCAATCTTTCCACCAGCCCAGACAGCCTTCCCTCTTTTGGCTTCTAGCAAAAAAAGAGTCCCGGCTGATCTCCAGTACAGCTTGAGAACACTTCCCCGTCGTGAGCCTGAGAAGGATCTAAGAAGCCCTACAATAATCAAATTCTGTTGTCAAAGCTAAGCCCTGCACAGCTAAGCTGGCCTCCTCACCTAGGTCTGTTTATCTCCCCACAGAGGCTGGAAGAAACCAACTGGTTCCAGGCGCCAGGCTGGGTAAAGTCTGCGATTGATTCTCCTGAAAACGTGGACGCTGCCGATAACACACAGCAGCCAGCACTCCACAGCCCAAAACAAAGGCCTGTGGATCCGGTGCCAGAGGCAAAGCCACTGGCTGGAACACTGTCTGCCTGGGGTATTGTCTTAGACTCTTTTAGATGAGATCAGGTGTGTTCAGGGTAGTACAGACACTTCGGGGGTTTTAGTGTTCTTGTTTTGTTTTTACTTAAGATAGAAATGGACACCTGGAAAAAGTAAGTCATTCCGCAAATATTTGTTCACCAGCAGCTGTGTGCCAAGCACTGTGTTAATTAGAAACATCGTTCATGTTCTCAACCTATGTCCATTCCTTCTTGAGGAAACCACACTGGAACTATAAGCCCCACGGTGGCCTGAAAATGCTACCTTCTTAGCTCCGGAAAGCCCTTACCAGGGTCACAGTTCTGAAATGAAGCCAGTTGAGTCAGCTGAACTACCTTCAGAAAAGCCTATGCATGGGTGACCCAAACATCACTTCTTTCCCTGGGCAGGCTCCACCCAAATACAGGGAACTCAACCCAACTCAGTTTCTGGCACTTTAAGAGCAAGGTAGGACCTGAGCCTTCTGACCCAATTACCAAGTCCAGCAACTGAAACCTTCCCCCTGGGACCATAGCTTGCTGGACAAGGTGAGCTGAGCATAGAGCCTTCTAGAGCCCTTGCTCTTGGCCCTGGTTTGGGGTGCTTCACAGAGCACCGCATGGAGCCATTAAGCCCAGGGAGCATGTGGACACCGATGAGAAGGACTGCAAGGCAGGACAGGAGATCAAGGTCAGACTGGGTTACATGAGAACCTACCTCCAAAAGAAATATCAAAAAAGAATCTGCACCCCAATGGCAAGGGCTGCCTTCTCCTCCAAGGTCCTCCTCTGGCTAGAAGAGGATGGGGCAAGAACAAGGGAGAAGACAGCAGATCTGTTAGCCTAGCACTGAGCTATGAACAGCCCCACTGCAGTCCTGAGAAGTCCCGATTATGGGTTTGTTACGCATGAGAAATCCACTTCTTGTCGGACAACGCACCTGAGGGCTTATTACAGTTGATTCATAGGCAAAAAGAACAAAACGAAGACAGTCATGACAGTAGTCTGCACTGGCAAGGCAAGAGGAAGAGCCGCCCCGGTCACTGGTGACTAAGATCCACACTCTGGATTCTCCATGTTCTCCCAAGATGGGGCTGTACATGTATGGGTCCTCAGCCTACCCTTCTCTACCTTACTTCCCTCTCTGCAACCCGCGCTGCCTTCTAAAAGTCAGCCTGGAGTTCCACCATCTGCCACCTGAGAGTCTTAGAACAGGTATGGGGGGGAGGGGTAAAAACAGCCAAGCCAAGATGTCAGAGAGGGAAAATGGTTTATTAAACCAAACCCACAGGCTATACACATGTGGGCCTCAAACCCCACAGCAGAATCTCCACTCCACAACACACACAGACACGAACCAGGGAAGATACTGCAAGACACCATGATATATTTAGTGCTTGCCCAGAACTTTGCATACTTCTCTGTATACTTATATATATGATCCACATTTTGTTTCGATTCCTAATTATTTAAAACGGCAGCAGCCTTTTTCTACACCACAGGACAGTGACACCTCTCAGGGTGGATAGCAGCACCATTCTCCGTATCAACACAGGCTGTATAGTGTCACCTGTGTTATCCTGCCCTCAGGATCCAAGACAAGGTGTCAGCCCCATTTGACAGCTGAGTTAACTGAGGAACAGGGATGAGGTTAAGTGGCCTCTACCTTATCTCTGGGTTGCACCAATCCCTGCCTTTGTGCCCTGCACTCTAAGCCTCTCCCATTCTACACATCAACCAAAAGGACCCCGAGGAAGAGCCACCACACTGAGAGGAAGAGATTAAAGACATCTAAATCAGACCTCTCTAAACCATCAGGCCACTGAAGCTGTGCCCTGCCACCTCTAGCTGCCACCACATGAAAATGAAAGGTCTGTTTTCTCTGACAGGTAGGAACCATCCAGTGAGAAGGCCGCCACCCACCTTCTCAGTGTGAGCAGAGGGCAGGGGCACTTTAAGGCTCCTGGGGCACTAACTGTCCTCTCGTTGCCTCTTCCGGGAGCGGATCATTTAGAAGAAACACCCCACCGCCTCTGCAGTCCTCACTGGGCTTTTCAGGACCTGAAGCTAGAAGGCTGTCGTGTTTTAGGCCAGGTCTCAAAGACAGCTGTTGGGACTGCCTTAGTTTCCCATTCTTCCTGAAGGGAACTGAATTGCCAGCTCCGTGGATTTTCGCCATGCCTGGGCATAAATACTGAGCTCCGGGTCACATCCTCACACACCTCCTCCCTGTGGGTTTGGAGTTGGTGGAAGACAAGGCCAAGCTGTAGGCCACTGTGCTGTCATGCGTGAGACACAGATCTAACTAGCAACTTCACCAATCCCTGCCCCAGTACCTTCGTCCTCTCCCTTCCCTAGTTTCCATCTTGATACCCGCCAAGAAAACAGGGAAGGCTGGTGACCACTTTATCACCGAGTGAAGCACGGCAGCCCAGGCCTCCCTTCCAGGCAGGTACGGGAGACTTTCGGCTCTCCGCACCGCCTCCAGCCCCTTCAGGCCAGGAGGGCCTCACCCGCAGAGCTGCCACGCCTGGCGCCACCCTCTCCAGCACCTAGCTTGGCTACCTGGAACTCCACAGACGTCTCCCAGGCCCAGTGTGAGTGGCCTTGACCGTGTTAAGACACTCGGAAAAAGGAAAACAAATCCGCCCAAACCCTAGGTCATCCTTATCTCGATTTCCCCCTAAACAGCCACTAGGACCCAGGGCCTCAGGACTTGAGAAGTCCCCGCTGCGACACAGGAGCCAGCCTCTGAATAAGTCAGTTAAAACCAGAGGGGCTAGGGTGGAGGGGATGCCTTCGCTCCATCCGACAGAGGAGCAGGCGGGGCAGAAAACGAGCTCTTTCGGCGGGAGCAGATCAGAAGGGGTCCGGTGCCGTCCCAAAGCTACTGGGAGAAGGGTGCCCAGCACCCAGCCTGGTGCGGGACATGGAACCCAAACCAGCTCCCCCGCCCACACCAACTCCAGTGGGCCCGGCCCCACCCGTCAGGTGTCTGTCCTCCCTCAGGTGGCTTTCGGACGCCGGCGTCCCCACCTGGCCTCAGTCGGTGCTCAGGAGCAGGTGCCCAGGAGTTCACGCCGCCGCAGCACAGGAGCTCCCCCGACGGCTAGGCGCGCCTGGGAACCGCGGGCTCCTCTGCGGCCCCGCACAGGCCCGCACCTGCCCACCTCGGTGCCGGGTGCTCAGAGCCCAGCCCGGGATGCCACAGCCCCTGCACGGCCTGGCCACGCCCTCCAGGTGTGGCCACATCCCCCGGAGTACAGGATTGGTGCAGTGCGAGAAATCTGATCCTCTGCGTTCCTGGGCCGCGGGCCCCGCCCTGCCTCTTCGTCACCCTACGCCCCTGCCACCCAGGGAGGGAGCGGTCCCTGGGTGGGCCTCTCCCTACGGGTGTCAGATCGTCCTGGGGACTTGAGGGGCGGGGGAGGGCGCGTCAAGAGGTCACGTCGAAATAGAAGAGAGTCGCCCCTCCCGTAGTGACCCTGCATTAGTGAGGGTTTTGAGACTGGGCCCCACAACTAGCGCAAGGACCTGCGTAGGTGGACTTGGCTTTGAGAAGCTACTCCAGAACTCGTCAATGCGCCTCCAGAACTGCCTGTGGGACCCCGGGTTCTACCTTATGCTCTCATCTATTCAATTTCCGCTTTTTCTGTTCTCCTTGAAGTGCTAGTTGAAAGCACAGACCCTGGAGTCTGTTATGGAGTTCAACCCCCACCTCACCCCCGACTTTATCAGGCACTAGAGACTGAGGAAAGTTTTCTCAGCTCTCTAGGCTTCCATTTCTTTTCTGTAGAGCGCTGTTTCTAAACCTGCCTACCTGGTAGATTATGTGGGCATTCACTATGTGTCTAAAGGACATAGGACTTTTGGTTATTATTGAAGTGAGGGTAGAATATCCCACAATGCCTTGCAGAGTAAGAGCGTCTTTTCTGTCACCTGGAGTTCATGTTCGGTGTGCCTGAGGTGTACCACCCACCTTCCCTATCCATAGATCAGCTATGAAAGCAGCGACCAGCCAGTGAGGCAAACCCCTCACTCCCAAGCACCGCTGTCACAAGGAGATGGAACCTGGGCCAGGCACTTAGGAGGAAGACTGGGGATGGAGCTTCTTTATAGAGTGTTTCCCTCGTATATCGAGCCTCTGGATGAGAACGATAAGAATAACAGCGATGAAGGACATCCACCCCTCGGGAAACTGAGGTGGAAAGACTGAGCCTTTGTAGCCTAATACTGTAGAGTGTGAAGTTAGTATTGGCTGTCGTCATCTGGACAGCCAGAGGACAGGCCTCTGGCCATGTGTGTGGGAGGTTGGGGGGTTGCATCGATTAAGGTTAGCCTCTGATAATATGTGTGAGGAATTGTCTTGGTTAAACTA